TGACTTAAAGTTCTATTGGTACAACGTGTAACATTTTTAGCTTTTTAAACGTTTGGTCCCTATAGCGGATAGAGGTTCTTTAAGAAATTGGTGTCATCCACGCGGAAATTAACATCAAACTTTTTCTTTCTTTTTCTATTGGATGGGGTGGTGCATGTTAAGAATATTTTAGAACAGTTTATAATTATATGGAAGCTATTGATTGTTTTGTTCTGTGTGTGATTTACTCCCTTTAAAGTATGAAAAGTTCTATTTAGACATTTTGAACTCTGTCTCCTATTAAACGGTAAATAATAATCGCAACAATATATGAATGATTAAATAAAAAAAAATCAATAGAAGCAATTTGATGTTTAGCGCTGCATGTGCTTTCCATGGAATCAGATAACAAATTCAGAACTCGTCAGATCTACCTTTTATTGTTGAGATTAAATAAAATGTGTGAACATAGACTATTTACTATACTATATATAAAAATATTAATTTTCGTGAACCATTAAGGTCACGGAATTCCACCTTTTCTCCCAAGAGTAAGGAGAGTTGTACAAATAATGTGAATACACAGAACCCCGATCTAATTCATCTTTTGCTAAAAGTGTTCATCATTTTCTGTTTTGTATCTACTAACAACATTCCATTTTTCTATAATTCCGATTAAAATATGCCAAAACCTGCAGTAAAAATAGATGTATGCCCCAAATAAACATTCCCCTGATTGGTTGAACTACTGTGGCCTCGATGTAAAGCAACGCAAAAATTTCCGTTAATATGTTGAACTTCGACCCTCTGGATTCAACCGATTCACAAACAGAGATTTTCTTGCGCTCAAATGTAATTCTGAGTGAAGTATACTGGTTATATATAAAAAATATTATATTGATCGTGCGCACATTTTCAGAGCTTCCGCGCATCATATGAAATGTGCTTCGATCAACGCTTTTAAGTGCCAGTCTTTGTAAGAATCATTTCAAAACATGGTCGAAAAGAACTCGCCGACCTAACCATCCTATTTTGAAGTTACCCTCATCATGAGTTAGAAATGGTGAGTCTTTCGTCTCTGCGTGTCTGGTAATGCGAGAAATCTTTAGATAACTTTTGGTTAGAATGATAGCAAATTACAAAGTTATATATCTCCTTAATTGTTAATTAAGTTCTAGTGCATTTCAACCAAATCATATCTTGAAATACCAGAACAGGAAAGGGTAACGAATGTTATATTTGTGCACCATTATACATTGTGGACTTAAATTAGTGTAAACTTAAGTGGGTTTTCGTTTGTCATGTTTTCACCACTGCCCGATTCTCAGGCAGATTGGCACTTAACACCCCATTAAAATTACAAAAAGAAGTACATAATTCTTAAATAAAATTTCTTGTAATACAGAAATAGACAAATTATATTTACAGTGACATGTCATCCATTTATTTTGCTTACACGTTATTGAAGTTTCGCCTTGACATGTTTCACAGTAAAATCTTGACTAAGACGTTAAATATTAATGATATTTTCCTATGGGAATATTCTCATCTGAACAGCAAAATTAACTGTTGTCTGCTATCTCCAATTTACACCTCAGTATCGGAGAAACGTAATACATCCTTTATCGGCGTTAAATGTAAAAATATCACTTATAACTTTTTGAAATTATCATGAAAAGAATTAATAATACTACATTACATATATTTTAAGTTGGTTAATTTTTATCTTGGAATCAATGCACACAGTCACTTAGGTTTCACCAGTATATGTCCTAGCGTCTGCCGTTGGAAACGTCACGTGTTTGAGAGCAGTCTACCTCTCCCTGACTTAGACAGTGTTGTAACATCACACCATAAGAGAAAATTGTATATGTCTCTGATTTGATACTTTTCATTAGACGACAAAAACGTTTTTTTTATTTTTTTTTTATTTATGCTGTTTTATTTCCCACAGTCTGTTACCAGGGGAACACTATCTACTGGTGATAGACATATGGATGAGAAACTTGCGAAAAAAAGATAATTGATGCGTCACGTTTTACCTTTTGACATCGTGACCAACGGCAGCCGCTAGGACATTAACAGCAAATGGATATATTCCCAATAGTGGAATATAGTAAAAAAGGAAAATAATTTGTTCTTAGTTTTCTGTCAGTTAAACAGCACTTTGATTGTTAAGAATATCTTGCAAGATTAATGTGACTAGATCTACGACAAAAATGTAAACAACATTTGGTCACCGAATGGCCTCCTTTAATGATCAGAATCCATACGATATAGTGAGCTATAAAAGGCCATTGGAAACAATTCAGAAGGAAAACCTGATTTATACTAATGATATTTAACAAAAAGCAATTAAGACCTCCAAAAACTAAATCAAACCACTGTACTACATGCTCCTGGCTTTGGACAGGCATTTAAAGTATATACCAGGGTTAAACATGTTTGAGAGCATTCAACCTCCCCCTGACTTGGACAGTGGTGTAACATCACATCATAAGAACAAACTGTAAATAAGAGTACACACGCTGAAACGTCTCGCCCAAATTATTGATCAAGATTGAATGTATGTTTCAAGTCTTTAATATAAAGGTTTTATGACGGGTATAACATAAACTTAACATTATCAATGAACCATGACAATCGGGTTAAGGTCAGATAACCCTGCCAGGCGACATGTACACTTTACAATCTTTCTTTGCACCAGGGATAACTTATTGCTTATTTATATATGGAAACTATGCTTAACCACGAATACTACACATTGATATATGAAAAACGAAAATGAGGTTAAGGTCTGATGACTCCTGTCACACGTTAACTAATGAACCATGAAAATGAGGTAACGGTCAGATAACAGTACAAGTCAAACATGACTGTACACTTTACAATTATTCCATTCATCAAATATAGCTGACCTATTGTATATAGGCTCTGAGAAAAAAATCTAACCCCGAAAACTGAATATTGACTGATTGTTGGTATTTAACACCACTTTCAGCAATCTTGATTTTATCATGGAGGCTAGTTTTTTACTAATGCAGGAAACCGGAATACCCGAAGAGAACCATTGATATTCGGCAGGAAAACTGGCAACTCTAGTTGGAGACGAACATACTTTGCCGAACTCAAAACCACAGTGTTTACAGGCTAGTTATCTATGTAGATACACAATTTAGGTCACTCGGTCTGCGAGGCCGATACTTAACATTGACGAATGTTCGAATGAAACATGAAAATGAGGTCATGGTCAAATGAATCCTACCAGACGGACATATAAACCTTACAATCATTTACCAAATAAAGTTGACCTATTGCTTATAGTAGAGGGTCTGAAAACTGTGAGAGGTGTTGAATTTATAAATTAGGTCCCTACCATGTCTGTAGAATAGTTGACTGAACATTACTTAGTCCTTACATCTAAAAAATGAAAAAAAAATCTTCATATAATTCCATAATAGCAGGTGCACGACTTCAATGTGTGTGCAGGTTTCAGGGATCTGAATGAAAACCTTTTGGAGGAGTTGATTACATAAAAAAAGGGACTGTAGGTACGTCTGTTAAAAATATAGCCAAAAAAATAACCAAGTTCAACAGTCTTGAAAAAAATGAGAAAAAAATCCTCAAATAATTCTATTATATTGAGTGCATACGTTCAATATCTGTGCAATATTTCTGTGAAATTTCAATGATCTGGGTTGAAACTGTAAGAGGGCTTTAATTTGCAAATATGGGACTGTCAGTCTGTATAAAGTTTGGCTGAAAAAAGACTTCTTAAATCTGGAAAAATGGGGGAAATTCTTTATACAATTCCATTAGGACACAATTTAAATGTGTATGCAATCTTTCTATAAGTTTTCAGGGATCTGGAAGAGTATATTACATCAAATAAGGGCTGTCCATCTGAAGAAAATTTTGAAGAAAAGTTATTAATTTAAGTTTAAAATTTTGGTTAGTTTGAGAACAAGTTCTTCAAACAATTCAATTACATCAGGTGCACAATTTCCATATATGTACAATCTTTCTCTCTGACCATACTTTAATCCGGTATTGTCCGCTGTGCAATCCAGCAAAAAAAAATGACAAAAGACACAAAGTTCTAATCTAAGAAAACTCTTACTCTATCAATTACAATTCTCAAGATAATAGTAAACATCTTCATTATAAAGAGTCATATGACAGTTTTGTCAACATGATTTTGACATTCTGAACATTTTAGCCCTGTCAGATTTTCTCATCTTCAACCATTTTCAATATATTGAAAGATTACTTGCATTTTACCCTTTTATTCTATTTTGAGCCTTGGTGGCTATGTTGGTTGGCCAGCAGGTTAATCTGACATTATTTATAAATAAGATACTCTAAGGATGATTGTGGCCAACTTTGGGTTGCCATTAACCAAGTAGTTTCAGAGGAGAAAATTTTACTAAAAGTTAGACAAGGTCACCAAGTGATGAGAATATCTCATGCTGGCCTTTCAGGTCAGGTGAGCTAATAATAAGATGCTGTTTGATAGCAAATGAGATAGCTATCTACCAAAGAACCCAAGATAACCAACTTAAAGGCTCCTGACTTGGGAAAGGCACATAAAGATTGTCCTGGGTTAACAGATCTGTGAGCTCTCTTAAATTTCTGAATTTCTTGTATTTTTTGTTATTTTGGCAGTGTAAATAACAAAATAAGCATATTTACTCAACCAAGAATACCAGTACTCTTTTGATGTTAGCATATACTATGTATGCTAAATTGTGGGGTCATTTGACATCTTGAAAGTTATATTCTAAGCATTGTTTAAGAAATTTTTGTGATTGATTGATTGTAAGTGTTTAATGTCACTTACAGCACTCTTGGCTATATCTTGGCAACCAATTATTATTGATGGAGGCAAGCCAGAGTTCCTTGAATGAGGGTCTTGGAGATATTCTTTGTTTAAAGCAGTCAGGAATAATGAAGACCATTTTACTTTGAAAGTGGCAGAAACAACTTATATTGCATGCTCAGCTAAATACAAACAAACCTCATAAATACAACAATTTATTTAATTCTTATTTAGACTTTACAAATGATTATAAATAAAAGAAATTTTTATACTTCATAAATAAAATAAGATAGAAAATTCACATTAGTTTATCACAGATTTGTCATTTCTTCAAAATTTTAATTTAGAATTCTAAGATAAGAACTGTCTTCTATTCAGGTATTCTGTCTAGAATTCTGGATTCCCAAATCCAACCTGTTGTTGTACACTCTGTATCTCATTCAACAAATCAGTGTCTTGTAAATTAAGCTACAAAAAAACAATTATTGTAAATGAAAAATTTGATGAGCATCAATTAATTGATTGTTTTCTTACATCAGGTGGCAATAAGTTCTTGACAATGCATCAAACATCATTGGAATATAAATCAAACTTTTATTTTTTTGCTCAATCATTTGAAAATTTTGGACTTCATTAAGGTGCCATTATCTACTATTATGAGCTATTAACTTGTAGGTATTCTAATTTGGTGTAAAAAAAAATCCATCAAACAACATTTGAATATAAATCTATTTTTTTATTTTTTTGCTCACTCTATTTAAAATTTTGGACTTCATTAAGGTGTCACTGTTTATTATTATGAGCTATTAAAGCAAAAGTATATAAGAACTTGTAGGTATTCTAAACTGGTGTAAAAAAAAAAATTTCCTCAAAATACACACTGCCAATTGATAATGTTGGCAAATATTGGACACATATGTTATTCCCTCTAGAATTAGAAAACTGAAATATAACTAAAATGCAGACACTGAAATGTCTCATCTACTTTTCTGATCAAGATCCAATTTCATGTTGAAGTTCTTTAAGACCAAGTTTTTACTACAATTATCACATAAACTTAACACCATCAATGATCAAAAATAACAAGGTTAATGTCAGATGTATATTAGAATTCTTCTGATTAAGAAATGTTTTGGTTAAATGCTTAAATAAAAAATACAATATACTAACATTTAAAGTATGTAAAAATACCTTGATAGCATATTTATATGCCTGTTCAGCCTCTAGTTGTCTACCAGTTTTCAGACAGACAAGTGATAAATAGGCCCAGACTTCAGGATCAGCATTGTTCAGTATGTTGGCTTCAGATAAAGCATCTTCAGCTTCTCCAAGCTCATTCAACTGAAACAGATAAAATACAGTCTATATCAGCAATGTAGTTAGTAAGAGATTCAATATGTGTTAAAAAAATAAAAATATAACACCATAACGAGCTTAAAAGAATATACTCAATCAGATGTATTTTGATTTAATAAATGAAACTCTGCGACTGCAAATTATTGAGTTAATTCCCTTTATACATTTTCACACAATCCTTCTTTTAGAGCAAACACACATATATATGGAAACCTGAGAAAATATTTGTGTCTGCTGCAGAAAAAAACATCATGCTTAGGATAAGCAATTGATATTACTATATAACAGAGTTGGTATCCAAAACTCAGACAAACATATACTATGATGTCTCCCCTCTTTTTAATAGGTGAATATTGTAACTGAACCTTGTAATTCAGAAAATTTGTAACCTTATAAGGATAACTATGGTATAAGACAAATATACAACTTTTCTATTTCGTAACAGACTCAATAACTTACCCTATAACATGCTATACCAACACCTAACCATGACACACAGGATGCTGACTTCTTACAGGCCATTAAAAATACATTCTTCGCATCTTGGAACTAAAATTGAAATATTTTTTGTAATGAAATCAAATTAGTGATACATCAAAGTGTGTCACAGGCAACTTCTTTTCATATATGTATGATCTCGAGAAATCTCAATTCTTTACACCTAACTATCAATAACCATAAAAAAAACATCATAAATCAAATTGGATGTTCAAAGAAAGCTTAATCTAATAAAAATAGAAGATGAAAAATTCCTTAACTTGAGGTGACAATTTCAATTCTGTTCTCTTTAAGTCTTAATGAACTTTACTGTAATAGAGTAATGTTAACCTGTTTATTTTATCAAGGATCTATTATAAAGTAACCTAATTTAGATGTAGGTCATGAGGATTTATGATCAAACATAGGGTAAAGAAATAAAAGAAACTGACACTAAGATACATTACAGAGAGTAATCAATCATTACAAATAACATTTTAAGGTATTAAATCACATTTGTGTTAGTGAAATAAGGTGAAGTGTCTCCTAGAAATATGGTGAAGAAATTGATGTTTTAAATAACAGAAGGACATTGCAAAATAGCAAATAGTTTGATTGTTCATTTTCAGTTGTAAAATATGTGATCTTACTTTTTTGTTAAAGATTTAGTGTGCTAATTTTGTACAAACAACTTTTTTTACCTTAAATACTTTATCATTATCATGTGAAAAAAAAGCATTTCAGTCAATCTTTAAAAAAAACCTTCTTAACTCTTACCATGCTGAATTGTTTTCCGAAAATGTATATTTTTTGTTTATTTGCAAAAATATGCAATTTATATGCAAATGAGCTATACCCTGCAGCTGATGCATATTGATTCCAAAAAAAGATGGGGGATCACAGGGTGGGGTTGGCCTTAATCTGCCCCAAAATTGGTCATCAGGTGTTAAAAGCGTCAATTTTTTCGTCCTTTATCTTGACCTGGAAGACTAAGGGATGCTGATAGATGTGTCTCACTGTAGTCTACATTTAGAGTGGACACATTGTCTAAAGAAGGTCATTTCCACCAAAAGTCCGGAATTTTGCGATTTTTCCCCGATTGTTGACTTTACCTGGCCTTGCAATGGAAAAAGTTGTTCCCTAAGGATATTTCAATAATAAACACGAACAGTAGTTATATGCCCACTGGTTGACACTATTTTTGGAAGTTTTAAGCCTCTGTACTGTGTGTCCAAGACACAGAAGGGAATCCCACCCCTCCAGAAAAACCAGCTTTATCCGATTTCAATTTACGAGGTTCTTATTTGGACTCAAAATGCACCTTAAACCTGAGAAACATGACAATAAATAGCCTTTGGTTGAAGGGACATGCATCAATTTATGATGCAATCAGAGGAAAATACTAAACAGCAGCATAATTATACAATAAAACATTGTAATCTGATATTTTATGTATTCACATTAACCAATATAAAAGTAGACAATCAGAAATTTGCAAATTTCAAAGAATGGCATATTGTTACTATAAACCTATAAACAGTAATTTTCTGGTACTGTGAAAAATTTTATCGACAAATTGAAATATGACATATGCAAAACTCTTTTGAATTCTTATTCTAATATTATAATTAAACTAGTGGTATGTTATTAATTAGTTTTATAGATTTCATTCAAAAAGAGTCATTGATTATTTGATATTCAATTTGATTTTCTGCATTTAAATTCAATGAGAACCCAAATTTATTCAATGATAATATCTTAATTGCTTAGCATTTATTACTTTGGAAAATATTGGCTTTGTTTTCAGATTATATCATATGTTATCATCACCAACTGGTTACAGAATTAAAAAAGGTAACATGTAGGAGTTGTTTAAATCATAGAAATTGAGCAGTAATACCAATTTATAAACATTATTTTGACAAAGATTGGCAAGAAAACAATATCCGTCAAAAACAATAGCTTTATCAGAAACACAACACATGAAGCCTCAAGCAATTACAAAAAATTGTAAAAACTAACATCATTTTTTTAAAATATAATTATTTATACTCCTGTCGGTCCATCCACTTAACAACTAGTACAGTAAATTAATATAAAAATAAGGAGATCTGGTATGATTGCCAATGCGACAACTATCCACCAAAGTTCAAATGCAGTGAATGTCAGTAATTATAGGCAACCGTACGGCCTTCAACAAGAAGAAAAACCCATACCGTATAGTCGGCTATAAAAGGCCCCAACATGAAAAATATGAAACAATTCAATTGAAAAAACTAATGACCTAATTTATAACAAAACAATTTTTGAAAAACAAATATGACAGACATGAACCAACGACAACCACTGAACTACAGGCTCCTGACTAGGGACAGGCACATATAGAATGTGGCAGGGTTAAAAACTATTTTGCTAGTGCAAAACCCTTCCCCTAACCTGGAACAGTGGTGAAACAGAACATAAGAACAAACTATAAAAATCAGTTGAATAGGACTTAAATCATCAGATCGATACATATCAGAAAACACAGACTGGACGTGGCAGTGAATCTATACATCCCACAACAAAAAAGACACTAAGTAAAGATCTAAGAGTACTTGCAGTTACTGACAGCTAGTTCAAAGCCAATTACAAATAATAAAAAAAATCTGGTTTCTTAGACTAAAATATCAATCAGTACACATCCAACATAGAATGGATTTAGTGTAAAGACATCAATAACTGTCAGAGAAAAATATGACCTTGTGCAATGTCAAAATATAAGTTTGTTTGACTGATTGATTGAATGATTGATTATTGCTTGCTTAAAATCCACTTTATTTGACTGGTTGTCATGAAATTTATATCACCAATTTATTAAGCATAATAAATGGAAGATTATTTTCAGCTTTCTAATTTTGTTTGAATTGTTTCTGATATTCAAGAATCATATAACAGTTTTTTTCAAAATAATAAAAAAAAGCGTTGTTCAATAATTGAAGCATGCATATCAATATTTGATTGGTTGATGGAGTGAGGAGTTAACTCTTAATATTTAAGACATGTGCTTTTATCATTCTAGAATTATAGGACAATTTAGCAGAAAATGGGTTTACACATTTTAAAATTTAATGAAAACTTACCCTTTGATCTTGAAGGTAAATGGAAGCTAGTCTAAGATATATAGAATGCATCTCTGAGGCATCATGGAGAAATGATATGGTTCTCTCATAACAATCTTTGGCATTCTCTGTGTCGCCTATCATGTACTTCACATGTCCCATCAGTGCCCAAGCATCTGGGTTCTATGATAAATAAAAATATAACTTATTATACATCACACCTCCCTTTTTGTCATACAATTAAATACAGTTGACTCTCCTTATGTCGAAGTCAGCCAGACCAGATGAATATTTCGAGATACATGAAGTTAGAAGTTTGACAAACCAAGGGACACAACTCCTGCTTAGCTTGGTAAGGCTAAAATAAATCTGGAAATATGGGTAGGGGATCGATATTCTGGTCTGAGATCGCTGTATCTGTATTTCTCTAATTCTTCGTCAATTTATCCCTTTCTGCACCCATTGTATAAAAAAAAATTAATCAACGTGTGGTTTGTTTGATCTCAGTTCTTCATTGGTTAAAATCCGATTATGACGTCGAATTTTCTTGCTTTCCTCTGAATTTCCTATAGTGACGGCATGAAAAAAGGCGACCATGCCTGATGACGTCACATAGAAAGAACACATCTTTTTGCAGATCATTCAAAAAGAAGGAATAAGTTTGCCTGCATATTGTTTGAAAATCATTAGAGAAACAGATTCCACCACCAAATCTCGTGTAATACCATATTTATCCACTCTCGACAGTTAAATTTTAAACATTTAAAACGCTCGGCAAGCCTCGCGTTTTAAATTTGAAAATTGAACTGTCTCGAGTGGATAAATATCGTATCACACTCGATGCAGTGGTAGAATCTATATGTAATGATCTTTCATTATTATTATAAAATTATATATTTTTTTTTTATCTCTTAGTTATTTCTTGGTACAGTAACATTTTGTTGATGTGAATTTTAGCCAAGAGAATATTTTGTAATGGATCTTAGCGGGATTTCAAGTTGACAAAGTTGTTCATTCTCGCATACAAGAGAAATGAGAAAATTAAGATTTCTTTTTATTTCAATCTTTTTCTGCAAGAGAAAATACAAAAGAATAAAGAGGTCAACTGAGTAATTTCGAGTTGCTCACTTAATCCCTACTTTATGCACAACCAGGCTCATTAACATATGGTTACGGTAATTTGTTTATACAACATTTAAACAAATTTTTCATAATCCATAACAATGTATTGCTAATCATTTATTATTTTAATCAAAGATAATCTTAGGTAAACACTCGTGGGAAAAGAATGTCATAAATCAATACAGTGGTCAGTGACCTGAAATTTAATTACAGATGTATTGTCAGGTAACTCTTCAATCCATTGAAATCCCAAAGGTCATGTTTGACATTTATGTATTAGTTCGAGATAATTGACATAATTTGAACGCATTTGTTACCCTTGGGACCTAATTTTCGTTCTAGTCAACCAAAATTTTTACTCATCCAATTACGACTCATCAAAATATATATATTTATATGGAACAAAGTTCAGGACCACAGGAAAATTTTTAGTCAAGCGAGTTCAAGACAATCAGTGTTAACTGTATTATCAATTTATAGTTTACTTCTATCTACTTTCATGTCTGGAAATTGGAGAAATAGACTTTGTTGCAAGGTGTTTGGAGAATATCAATGTGTATAAAATATGTTTGAATATTCAATACTAACCTGGTAATCAAATTGTAATGCTTCATTCAGACTTTCCTCTGCATCAGTTGTTTCTTTCTTCTGTAACTTAAGTCTAGCAAATGCAATGTGGTACTGAGAAGTAGGTCCGCCAGCTGGACTTAACAGCTCATGGGCCAAAGCTCTCTCTGTGAACTGTAGTATTTCAAGGAAAAGTTTTATTATAAAATTATTGTTTAAAAACATAAAATGCTTAAGCCATTTACGGTGAAAAAAAATATATATACAGACATGATAGTTTTTCCTTCTATTATAAAAATTAGTTTCTGTAAATACAGACTTAATGCAATTCTGAAACAACTAGCATTCACGTGATCTGAATCAATACAATTCGGATACTTGGTGATATATAATATATTAAGTGAAAGATTAAAATTATTGCTTTGTACATCTCACTTCATTTTTTCACATTGATTTCTGAATTTAGAGTAAATATATTCATATCTAAAAGGGTGCAAATGTATTTTAACATAATTGTGTTTTTGGAAAATAATCATGTGATCTGATAAGTACCCATAAAAGTGAAAGGGATAGTAAGTTTTACGACATCAACTGTATGAGATGTCAGCAGTTTCTTACTTCTTCATGGAACTTTTTTTATAAGAAATACAAAGTGTAGTAATTTTAAAATAAAGGTTTATGTTGTGATTCCTATTTCAAAGTTTACACAAAATACTAAAGTTGATCAGATTATACTGAATTGTTTGAATAAACATATCAAAATGAAAATTTTCAACTTACCTAAAAATAGCTTGATAACGAAAAACCTGCTATTGAGGCTTAGGTAATTATAATACTGAACCATATTTATTTTTATCATATTGTTTTAGGGCAAAATTTTCATAAACAAAATATGGAACAAACAGTTGATTTATTCTCAATATTTTGCATCATGAATATATCATTTTTCTAATCTGCGTGTAGTATTACCCAATAATAATTTCTAACAAAACTTACAGGAATAGCCTTGACCTCCAAAAGCCATTCAATAGCATGCATATAAATGCTGCAGGCTGGAACGGGTGTTGGTTCCCTGGGGGGTTGTTCCTCTGTCTCCTCATGTGGTTGAGGGGAGCCCCTTTGACTGCCGACTTTATGGTGGCTACCTGGACGAGACATACTGCTGTCACTTTTTATTCTGCTTGCTGCCAAACGTGAGACAAAGCATTGTGAAAAGCATGACCATCACCCAGTTAGTGAAACATATATACATACATATATAGCTATCAACATGCATATTGATTTCAAAGTCATCAGAAATTTAATTATACACTCTTTTTTTTTTAAGTGAAAAAATCTGTACATGTACTAATATTGATAATTGAAAAATGCAAAAAATACAAAAAAACGACCTGAAGGTTCTTCATGATGACTTTGAAATCACAGTATATTTTGTCTATTTTTTCACTAGCTCATAAATAATGCTCCAATTAGTTTTTCATCTAGCTATAAGCGTATGCATAATACTTGAGCAACACCTTTATTTTCACAAATCGCATGATATTTTCTTTGCTCCTCTCCTGTTTCTTAAGTACGAAAACTTACTCTTTTGTGACACTTTATTGAAATATGCGTAAATTTTATTTTTTGTGAAAGTCAAATGTCCTATTATTCATCCATTATGGGACAGTCAAATGGTTTATTATTCATCAATTCAAAAGAGCTAAATGACCTATTATCATGCATACATTTAATGCAGTCAAAATATCCTTTGATCAATAAATTTTTGAAAACCACAGTGATGGAAATTCAACTTCAACCAATATTTTTTGCAAAAAATTTCCTCAATCTTTTTTAAAATTACAAATGAGCTGTCATTGAATAATTAGCTAAAGAACAGGTGCATTTTAATTATGAAAGTCAGTTTTCGTTTTTATCAAATTCAAAACTGCATCAGTCTTAACTTTTTGATGAATCCAAAGTGAAAAGAATGATTTGTTGTAATTATATTTATATACTGTAGAATCTGAGGAATGCCTTTAATATTTACACTAAATGTAGATATACTAGCTCTAATTGTATAACACACAGGCCTACAGTCATAAAACTTTACACAAGTACTCAAGAGTACAAAATATGTGCTTTAAACACCAAATCCAGTATTTTGATTGGTTGAAATCCGAGTCTGAGTACATTAATCGAACTCCAATATATATGACTGCTAGACATGTACACATTGGTGTACTTTGAAGTTTATAGTGTGACACTAGCTGAAATGACTGCTTTAAGTGAATGATTGTGAACTTATATCCATGATCTAAAAATCTTCTAATTGAAACTGGATTATAAACTAATAGACCACTTTCGAGTTATGTCCTTCACCGGAAAAGTTCGTCAATTATGCACGCCTTTAAGATGTCATTTCCAACCGCTCGCTCAACACGGGAAGGAAGTGACGACACCCCTAAACGCACAAATGATGTTCACTAAAACTGAAGTTTTTGACAGAAATGCAACGAACTCGTAAGTGGTCTATTAATACTGGCAGTACTTTGGTTAATGAAATAAATCTTAACAAGAGTGCACACGCTGAAATGTCTCTCTTCTTTACTAATCATTGATATTATGTTGATAGTCCTAAATATAAAGCTTTATTACAACTGCCACATAAACTTAACATTAACCAAGTAAACTAAACATTGACCAATGAACCATGAAAATGAGGTCAAGGTCAGATAAACCATGCTAGGCAGGCATGTACAGCTAACAAATCTTCCATACAACAAATATAGTTGACCTATTGCTTACAGTTTAAGAAAAACAGACCAAAACACAAAAACTTAACACTGAGCAATGAACCTTGAAAATGAGGTCAAGGTCAAATAAAACCTGTGTGACTGACATATAGATCATAAAATATTTCCATACACCAAATATAGTTGAACTATTGCATATATAGTATTAGAAAAAAAGACCAAAACTCAAAAACTTAACTTTGACCACTGAACCATGAAAATGAGGTCAAGGTCAGATGACACCTGCCAGCTAGACATATACACTTTACAATCATTCCATACACCAAATATAGTAGACCTATTGCATACAGTATAAGAAAAACAGACCAAAACACAAAAACTTAACTATAACCACTGAACCATGAAAATGAGGTCAAGGTCAGATGACACCTGCCAGTTGGACATGTACACCTTACAATCATTCCATACACCAAATATAGTAGACCTATTGCATACAGTATAAGAAAAACAGACCAAAACACAAAAACTTAACTATAACCACTGAACCATGAAAATGAGGTCAAGGTCAGATGACACCTGCCAGTTGGACATGTACACCTTACAGTCCTTCCATACACCGAATATACTAGACCTATTGCTTATAGTATCTGAGATATGGACTTGACCACCAAAACTTAACCTTGTTCACTGATCCATGAAATGAGGTCGAGGTCAAGTGAAAACTGTCTGACGGGCATGAGGACCTTGCAAGGTACGCACATACCAAATATAGTTATCCTATTACTTATAATAAGAGAGAATTTAACATTACAAAAAATCTTAACTTTTTTTTCAAGTAGTCACTGAACCATGAAAATGAGGTCAAGGACATTGGACATGTGACTGACGGAAACTTCGTAACATGAGGCATCCATATACAAAGTATGAAGCATCCAGATCTTCTACCTTCTAAAATATAAAGCTTTTAAGAAGTTAGCTAACGCCGCCGCCGCCGCCGAATCACTATCCCTATGTTGAGCTTTCTGCTCGACAAAAACTGATTAGAAATGACACCAAAAAAATCATTTATGGTACAATTAAGTACAGTATTATTCAATAAAAATATTAATTAATATTCTGTCAAGCGTATCTTGTTGCTTTCTTTCTTAACACGGATATTAAATCAAGATAGAAAACAAAATTCCTATCATTAACAGACAGAAATAGATTTTGGTTAATAACTGAGCCAAAAACAAAATTGATTCTGGACCAAAATCATGCTTTAAAACATACATAAAAAAAAATTGCTGTGCCAAGCAAATGAAAAAAATTATTTCACAACCAAAGCATTGTTCTACCTACATAATTACAAACATGCATGTTAATGAGAATGACAATACAGAGGTAGTGTAATATGATACAGCAAGCAAAATATTCATAAAACATATATCAATGCATTTGTTTAAACTGTGTACCAATAATTGTAAAGACTGAACACTTAGTTCTCGATTTCTTTTGCAAAATAATTCATATGAGAACATATAATTATCCATTTGAGCACACACAAAAATCTTAATTAAACATCACTTGATCAGTACCTCACACTTAATTTGTATGTCAAATATTTATTTAGAGGTTACCTCAATAGTTCTCATGAAGATATCTTCATAAACAATAATATTTTTATGTAAACTCTTGTATAATGACATAGACCAAAAAATGCCTATTATTTTGCACTGTGTAAACAAAATTCATGCCTAACCAAAAGAAATTTTCAGCTCAAAAGGGTTTTGGTTCAAGCAGGGTTCATTATTAGTAATTAATCTGGCTGAGATCCTTGAATCTGACATCTATACACAATTTTTAATCTTTGGTATTTTTATGGTCTTGGAAGAACCCTAAAAATATTCAAAGGTTCTCTAAAAAGATCAAAATGTGTAATCTGAAAGGATGGATAACCTGAAAGACAATAGACAGACATTGTTGCTAAACACCTGTGTATCATATAATCAATCAGATGAAATGAACATGAAATATGCATACACATCCGGTCTGTGTTCTTTGTTAGATGTTTTTCTGCTTTGTATCGATCTGATAAGCCCTTTTCAACTGATTTTTATAGTTTGTTCTTATGTTTAGTCTTACACCACTGTCCTAGGTTAGAGGAGTGTTGGCGCCTTCAAACATGTTTAACCCTGCCACATTCTTTAAGTGCCTGTCCCAAGTCAGGAGCCTGTAGTTCAGTGGTTGTCGTTGGTTTGTGTCTGTCATATTTGTCTTTTTTTTAATAAATTGTTTTCTTATAAATAAGGCTGTGAGTTTTCTCAATTGAATTGTTTCATATTTTTTATGTTGGGGCCTTTTATAGCCGACTATAAGGTATGCGTTTTTCTCATTATTGAAAGCCATACAGTTGCCTATAATTGTTTATATCCACTTCATTTGAACTTAGGTGGATAATTGTCTCATTGGCAATCATACCATATCTCCTTATTTCTATAATGGTACATGTTCAAATCTAAAATAGTTAAAAGTTATAAATATGTATAAAATAAATGTTATTTAATTTGGCATATAAAGTTCATAAGCATGAATTACTTGTTAAACGTGAGTAAAAACAAAGGGTGAATGTAAAAATATATGTTGTTATTTTATAAAAAAAAAAGTTTATTGAAATTTTAAGTTAAGAGTTGAACTTTGATAGTCTGAAGAATAATTATCATACAATTTGTTTATTGAAATACCTATTCCAAAACCAGAAGGAAAAAAATATATCACATAAAAATAACATGCAAAACGTAGACAAGCTTCCACCATTAAATGTTACCAAACAGTTTACATGGTTTGTTTAGATTTTTATTCTATTTAGTTCATCCACAGAAAATTTTAATAATGAATTATTATTAGTGTTATAATATTTATTTTTAAAATAAAATTTTAAAATTCCTTGTATTAGCTTGTAAGTTTACCAACTGACTAATTTTATTGAAAATTACCTTTAGATATTGTTGTGTTCCCTGTTAAACAGTAATATATTTTCAAATGGTTAAAAAATATAAATAAAAGAATAGAGTTTCAATGTCCCCTGCCACAGTTTATGATAGAAAGGTTGTCTCCTTCTTAAACTTGTCCGTCTGCATCCATACCATCATTATAATATAAACCAATTTGGTGTTCCATAATTTTGCTATCACTGACCTAAATTTAGCACTTAAAACAGCTGCAGCAATATTTTACATGCTGTAGTGACATGCTGTGATTTCATATTTCAAAAACTTATAAAAAAACACATGTTTTTAAACCCTATTTTTCAAAATATTCCCTTTTTTTCTGAAATCATTACAACTGCTAATCATTAAATGATATATACTACACTATTTGATGAAGGTGGTTAAAGTTCTGATGAATGTACTATTTTGGATAAAGCAAGAATGTGGTGGGTACATACAAAAGCAATTCAGGTAACTTGTATCATTGAATACTAAATAATTATTATAAGCGAAACAGGTGCTGTTATGAGGTGGGTTGTCACACATGTAATTGACCACCACTGTGTAAAGGTTCATGGGTTGTCACACATGTAACTGACCACCATTGTATATATCTAACTATCATTATTACCTCCTTCCAATTGGATTTTGTCACTTTCATCTGATAAAAACAAAGTTTGGATCATTTCTACTCTATAACCTCTACTTTATACTTGTATATAATCAGTGCACAAAGCATGGGCATTGTGCAAAACTACTCGCATTCAGGGATTTGATATACTGTGGGTAGGGAAAAATGTTCATTGTTACTCTAACTCATTACTTTATTGATATACTGTGGGTAGGGAAAAATGTTCATTGTTACTCCAACTCATTACTTTATTGATATACTGTGGGTAGGGAAAAATGTTTATTGTTACTCCAACTCATTACTATATTGATATACTGTGGGTAGGGAAAAATGTTCATTGTTACTCCAACTCATTACTTTATTGATATACTGTGGGTAGGAAAAATGTTCATTGTTACTCCAACTCATTACTTTATTGATATACTGTGGGTAGGGAAAAATGTTCATTGTTACTCCAACTCATTACTATATTGATATACTGTGGGTAGGGAAAAATGTTCATTGTTACTCCAACTCATTACTTTATCTAATTTTCCAATTTTTCATAATTGAAAAAATAGAAACTTATATTCCATTGCGGTAGAGTTCAAATTCTGTAAACTGTGAATCCATACAGCTTCTCAAAGTAGTGTTACTTTATGATTAATAAACATACAAAATGTGACAAAACTGGAAAACCTGTGTCATTAGGAGGACAAAGTGAGGAAATGTTATGTGTATTATCGGGAAAAAAAATGTTTACCTGATGATCGACGCATTTGTAAACTATCATCTAAGATCAAATACATATAATTTGCATAAATTATATTTCACTGTTCAAAAAGACCTCTTCAGGTAAAAAAAGTTTCCATTGTTAAAGATCTCAAAAAGGTCAATCAGACATGAAATTCGTGCCATGAAATGGTTAGGTCAGGGATATGTGTAAACAATACATATATTATGGGGAGTTGACTCAGTTTCACTTTTTATTGTCATTTTTTTTATTTTGAAATATGTGGTAAATTGAAATAAGATCTATGAAAAAAACTCAAAATAAAATATTTCTTTGTGCTTATTTAAAAAAAAATTGGGATCTAAAAATTGGAAATTGTTGTAATTTTTATGAAATTTACTAAATCTGGTAGCAAAAGTGGTTTCATTTAAACTAATGTTTATTGTGCAGTTAACCAGTTTCTTTGAAATACTTTTCATATGAGTTGATTTTTATTATGGACTTTGAAATGAATGCATAAAATAGTTTTACCGAGCTATTTTATAGAAAACTGTGCAAAAAACTTCCTATAAATGTATTCGCCTCATATGTTGTGGGAAAATCACTTTCCAAGTTAAGAATGCTTGAACAGCTTCCCAATTGATTCAATCAATGCAACAATTATAATTAGATTCAGTTCAGATGATTTCATCAAAAATGGCGCATTCAAAATTTCTATATTTTGCGTTTACAATTTTCTCCCCTGAACTGTATCAACTCCCCTTAATAAGTTACCTGATGGTAGTTGTAGGAGACTTCCTTCTGGGATGAAAAACATACAATTAACATAAAACAAATTTTGCAAACTTTAAGGCTATACCATTTCAATTTTGAGTACAGCTATTACAGACTTTAATGTATATAAAATATGCCTTAAAGTGTATGGAAAAGGTATAATTTTTCAATTTTGAACAAAATTGACCCTATCATGATTCAAAAGTTTCTGAAGAAATGAATTGTGTGTATGGTATGCAATACATTTTTATCAAATCTGTCAGTAAATAAATCAAACTCAACTTATAATACAGGGGGAAACAAAGGAAATATATGAAGCATGCAACATTCTACCTTAATACAAATATATATATTGTTTAAGGTATAGCCATCTAAATTTCAAGACAAATAAGGATACATGAAGAAATATATATATATTCCCCAAACACAGAAAATGTAAATTCTGCCAATGCTAAAAGTGTCAATACTCATACCTGATCTACGTGTGGCTGATTGTCTTCTATCTGACATAGATCTCTGACCTCCAGACCGAGCTGATGTCGGTGGTTTGTCACTGCCAGGTGGTGATGGCTGTTTGATATCAGGGTGAGGCTGTTGAGGGGGTGCTAAGCCACCCTGGTCACCAGCATGAGAACCATCAGCTTCACCTATTAATCATTAATAAAAAATGGCTAAAGTTTAAATTTGGAACTAGTAAAAAATAGATTTTCAAAAGGAGATTCCTTAGAAATTTAGGGGCTTTCAGTCAATGAAACACAAGATCTTGTGTCTTTTTTATTTTAATAGTAAGACATTTTGCTATGGTCTACATAGCTGTTTTATTAAAGATTTCATATGTCAAATACATGCATGTAAGTAAGTCCATCTTTCATACTATTTCAGTATCAGAACAAGCCGGAATTTTTTAAAATAGAAATAATCTGTAATATACAAAACTAAACTCATCTATCCATAACTTTCATCACATATTACTGAGCTACTGTATTATTTGATATTTGGGCTAGTACTTTTAATATTGTGTTGTATTGTATTGTATAGTGTAAGGAATTTTTAAAACTTCTAAGCAGTCACTTCATGTTTGACAATAAATTTGCATGGAATGTTTGTCAAAGTCAAATAACAAGTGGGGTACGCCCTACACAACATTGAGTGCAACATCTTGTTTGCTATGAAAGAGGGTCTTTATGGGGGTACCTTCATGAAGAATAACGGTAAAAAATCTTGCCAAATGACGTTAACAGTAATTTTTGGTGCATGACGATAAAATGTACACTTTCTTTTAGACAAAAGTCGACTGATTTTGACAAATCACGTTAAATTTTTTCCAAAAATAACGGTAACGATAATTATTTTAGACCTCTGACGAATCACGATAAGGATATTTTGACGAAATACTGTAAAATTTTAACCAATCTATCGCTAACGGTAGCAGAAAATGACTGCTTGATGCCTGACGGTAAAGGGCATCCCTATCCTCATGAAAGGACAGTTATTTGTGCACTCAAATTTTTGTGAAAATATCATTAATAAGTGGGTTTTAGTTTGTTGAACCACTGCACATAATAACTCTTTTGCATAAGAATCAGACATCATTTGAATTAAAACATCTTATATTCATTTGTGAAATTACAATACGTTGTTAGGAAGTTTCCATGGGAGATAATCAATTTTTCTTTCGAAAAGTCTTCTATATTCAGAAGAATAATGATTTTATATTATCTCCCAAGGAAACTTATAAACAACGTCTTGTAATTTCACTTATATGTTACTAAATATAAGATGTTTTAATTCAAATGATGTCTGATTCTAATGAATATAGAAGACTTTTCGAAAGAAAAATTGTATGAAAGCTTAGTTTGGAAATTTTTACAGCAATTCAAAATTACTACCTAACACCTTTAGTATGACTATTACAATAAAATTTGTATAGAAATTGTTAGACTGATTTTTCATAATATCATTTAAGTGGAATTAAAGTCTTATAGGATTGTAAGTATGGTTCATTTTATCACCTTGCACTTTCACGACTTGACCGTGGTTTTCTACAGCAGTTTGTTCAATTTTCTGACCAGTTGAACCGTTTGGTTTTATAAAAACAAATTGCAATTTGGTCAGAATTTTGAATAAATTGCAATAGGTGGAGAGCAACACTTACAGTCAAGTCACAGTAATACATGAATTGAATTATGACAATTTTTGTTTAAGATACATAGAACATGAATTGGTATTTGATGCACTATTTCTATGGACATATAAAATACTAACCTTTTTCCTCAGCCTCTTGTCCTCTTGCTTCCCTCTCTTTGACCTGCTCTTCCTCTCTAGAGGCCCTAGCTATAGCTACAGCTTTAGACTGGTTCAGTTTGTTAGCCTCAAGATAAGCCATTTCAGCACCTATCTCATTGTTCACAGCATCATAGAATAAACCTGAAAAAATATAGTCTTACTGTTCAATACATATTTTGATAATTCTAATATTCAAAATGGAATTTTGATACTGATATAACACTTTAATATCTAAAATAAAACTGTCATGAAACCTGTTTGCAAGGAAACCTTAATCACATTGTTCATATAGCAGTCCACCCTCAAACAAGATAGTGTTCTTATAAAGGGATCGTCTCTGGTTAGTATTTGGACAATAAATAAATACTACTCTATAATATTGCACAATAAAACCTTTCAAAAATGTTCAATCTATTAGGATTTTATGGCTTTCTAAAACACTACAAACATGAACAAGATTGTTTCAATAATCAAGCAATTTGACCGAGGAAGACTGCTTTAAGACATATGGTCTCAAAGGAATAGCCTTCACAAAGTGTCATTATGCTGCAATAGGTCCTGTAGATTCAGAAATTATTGCAAGGTTTTCATTTGGCCGGTTTTTATTAATGCAAATAATGCGACTCCTTGAGTATCGCAATAATAAGAATTTGCATTCTGATAACACATACATATATTTATATGTTGCTTTTCCCTAATTCGTGATAATTAAACTCATATTTTTGTTCATACTTCAAAAATCGCAAAAATAAATGCATGCAATAATTTGTGAATTTAAAGTATATATAAAATTTAATCATTCCAAAAAATTATACATTAGTATTATCAAAATTATCAAACAATCTTACCAATTAGGAAAAATTTGGGGGAACTGTCTCAGCTGAGAAGTTTTCACTGACAAACAGACACACACATTGATGCTAGGTACTAACATCTTTATTATAAATTCAAAATACATTTAGAAAACTATTTTGGTTACAGCATCTGTTTTCATCAGCATTACGATATATAATTTTTTTTAAATTACTACCAGAATGAATGAACAATATGTTGACATACCTAACATAGTCCAAGCCAAAATACTTTTTGGATCGACACAAGTAGCTGCTTCAAAGAAGGTTTCTGCTGCTTCATGTCTCTGCTGTAAGGTACATACAACGCCATACAACAAAAGTCTGAAACAGGAAAAATTAAGATGTTTGTAATGGTATGTATGATAATTTGTCAAAACACTGTTGATACAAGAATATGGAAAACTACATACAAATGTAATTGTTTGTGTTTTGTCTTAGATTTTAGAACCAGAAATTGACATTTTTAAATTTAGGCTGTAGTATCCAATCAACAACATAAAAACAAACAATTACCTATCCCTTAATTCCAATGTATACCAATTGTAAATATTCTTTTCTATAGCTGTTTGTTTAGTATAACATGGGAGATAATTCAAAGCAAGTACACAGTAACTCCCCTTAATATCTAGTAATTACCCATGTAAATGTTTCTGATCTATAGCTATACATTCCTTGAAGCACTCCTCGGCTTTAGTGATATCATTGATATATAAACAGAAAGTTCCATAGTCAAACCAATGAGATGGGTCATTCTTGTTCCTAGCTATCCTCTAAAAAAAAAAATAACTCAAATTTTAAAATTCTGTTCTACTTTGTGGTAGAAGTAGTAAATTCATTCTATTACATGAAGTAAAATATTAGTTATTTCATCAACTGAAATAGTGATAAAATTATATTGTTTATAACAATGAAAAATATGTGATTCTAACAATTTTACAAACTACTTATGACACTCACTTAGATTAGGAAAACTCTGGTAAACATACACAAGCATTGTCTGGGTTAAAAAGCTAGTGACAACAATAATCTTTAACATTTGAAATAGGTTACAACAATAAACTTTAACACAAGAAATAATTTAAGTTGCTTCCAGCATGTGGTTTGTTAAAAAACTAATGTTAAAATAACTAATTTTACCTCCTGATAATATTTAGTAGCCAGCTCATAATTATCATTGACTTCAGCCTCCCTGGCAAAATGTTTCAGCTGTGCTGAGTCTGTCAACGGCTCAGGGATAGGAGGTTGGTCCTCCAGAGCTAGAACTTTTCCAAGAGCCACATGCATTTGATCAATCAGGTATACATATAACTCACTTAAAAATGTCTGCAATATAAAGTATTAACAATTGATTTTTTTAATCATGAAAAATATTGCTATAAATGTGTGTACATTCAGTCAATTACACTAGTTCAACCTAAAGGAAAAGGCATTAAAACAATGAGTTATCAACTGAACAAACCCAGCATTTTTATCAAGCAGAGGATAATCACATTAGCTCATTGCCCAAGGCCTGAAAAATAACAATGAATGACCCATTCCTTTATAAGTTAGTATCAAAGACAACTATATATGAAAATAAGATGTGGTATTATTGCCAAAGAGACAAATCTCTACCAGAGACCAAATGACATAGAAGTTAACAACTATATAGTTATTAACATGGTTTTTTTTTTGTTTATCATTAACACTGGTTATCTACAAAAGTAATAAGGACTGAGGAATATTTTCATTCTCAAACTATGTTATGGCCTCTTTTAGATTTTCATAATCCAGATCCATTTTTTTTTTTTTGCAGTGAGGTCAACTGCCCAAGTTAAATACAGAAAGATATGTTGTTTTGATTGTAGAATACTTAGTAAATTGACAGTATGGCATTGATACTGGTATCATTACCTGTAATTCCTGTCTGTCTTCAAAGGTTGACGTCCTTAAGTATTTCTCTCTTACAATTTTCACTACAGCATGTTTTAATTGCTCTTTAAATGCAAAGTATTTGCCTGAAGAGTTCAGTTCATAAATCAGTTTCTGTCTCCTGGAAGTAAAAAGAGCAGAATAAAGTAAAACTTCTAAAAAAAAATTTTGTGGTTATAAAATAGTTATAACAGCAATCAACTGATTTTGCAAAGAATTCATCAAAATCAAGTGCTCTTCCACCTATGATATTGTGATTTCACCTGCTAACACCTTTTTTACATAGCTCCTGTAACAATTTAAAAAGATTTCATCAATTTACAGGAAAATATGGTATGGCTGTCTTTATAATAAATTTGTTTAAATTTATTTATTCAGAAAATATGTGGCATTATGGGAAATGTCACTGTTTCAGGTGTTTCTGATTGCTGATGACATTAGGGTACTAATGCTGAGACTGTGTCGCATAATTTAAGAGGAACAAAGTTGAATTTTTCAATTTGTTCATCACCATCAAGTAACCAAAACACTCTTTATGTGCCTGTCCCAATTCAGGAGCCTGTAGTTCAGTGGTTGTCGTTGGTACATGTCGGTCATATTTGTTTTTCGTTAATTGTTTTGTTATAGATTATGCTGTTAGTTTTCTCAATTGAATTGTTTTATATTTTTCATGTCGGCGCCTTTTATAGCCGACTATATGGTATGGATTTTTCTCATTGTTGAAGGCCGTACGGTTGCCTATGATTGCTTACATCCACTTTATTTGAACTTTGGTGGATAGTTTTCTCATTGGCAATCATACCTCATCTCCTTATTTTTATATAAAAGGAAAACAAAATCTGGTGTCAGAGGCAACACAAAAATCCATGCTAAAAACTAACTTTTTGAATGAAAAGCAAGGCAGCTTTTTCCCCCCATAAATCTAAATATTGTCTAACATGTTACCAGCGGAATAGCTTATTTAATTGTTTCACTCATAACCTTATAAGTATAATCATGTCAAAAGTAAAGTTGACCAGGAAAAAATGTATACGTCAGATATTGAACTGATCTGTTCACAATTAACCAGCAAAATTAATTTTAATTTCAGACAGCATCACACAAAAGTCCAAAATTTTCAATAAATTTCAAAAGTCTGAGTTCATTATTCTGTCAAAAGTTTGACAAAGGGACTGAAGTACAAATTGCCTTTATCATAGACAACAAACTCCATGATGACTATCAAAAAAGTCATACCTGCTTTCCATAGCCTCAGATGTTTCTGTATCATCTGGTTTGAAATCATCACCAAACTGGTCCCTGTAAGAACAAAAGAATTACGCTTTTAATTATGAATTATATCCAAGTGGATAAAACCACTCCTTATATTACATTTATTTCTACAAACTTTACATAATGTAGGTTATCTGTGTCATCAGGTTGCTGTCTTAGTGACATATGCCCCACATTTCGTTTTAATCACATTAAACTATGAGAATGGGAATCATAGCGCACTAATTGTCATTTCTGAATAATTCATCATTTTGATGTCAGCATTATATAACAGGAAAGTTTAAAAAGTAAACAAGTTTTTAAAATGTACCTGAATTCATCCAGGATCAGATTAGCAACACTAGCCACTTGATTTTGGAAATCTTCTACAGACTATAAATAGATACAAAATAATTATTACATAAACATCTGAATATTAAAAAAAAAAAAATTTTTTTTTACATCAATTAATTCATTACTATAAAGTTTATTAGGGAATACATTTACCTCTGTACCTGTAGTTCTTAAATTTAATCAATTTATCTTAGATTTCATTTACAAAATTTAAATTATTACTAAAATGTCACTTGAGAAGTTGGTAAATTACTATCTAGAGTATGTAAATCAATGGAAGATATTTTGTTCATCAAGTTTCAAAGACAGAAATCAACTCACCCTCACAGCACCATCAGTTCTCTTTGGAAAGAGAGGTCTTGGTGGAATGTATTCAGCTACCCTGGAAAAAAGCAAACATGCTGCGTATAATCATAGACTGACATTTTTTTAAAGTTCTTTATTCATAACATATACATTATTATACATCTTCCCAAATATATTGTTATTCCAGTTTTAGGGGTTTTTCTTCAACATTATCTAGTTTTATGGGTGAAACATAACCACAAAGACATGGAAAAAGTTCTGTTTTATTTACTTAAGATCTATAAGGGAAAAGGGTTACATCTGGACTATATCATGCTAATCTTTGAAACTTCTTTTATTGTATAAAGCACACAATAAACATTTGAAACTAAAAAAACAAGATTAAGTTATGTTTTCCTATTTCTGATATGAACGAGGGATTGTATACAAAGCTACAACTACAGTTGTATACATTTAAAAAAAGGAATGCCATTAAAGGGAGAATCAAGACGGCGTCAGATAAGAATATTTAGAAACACTTTATGTTACGTATCAATGTAAAGTGTTTTTAAATATTCTTATCTGACCCAGTCTGTGGAATAAACAAGCAAGGCAACCCCCATGTAAATATTACTTTATCTTATTTGATCATGCATATATTACTACAAGAGCTTATTTCACTCACTCACTCTACTTGCTTATAATGATACCAGAAATTAATTTTCAACTGGTACATTAACTGTTGTTTTAGAAAGGTCCAAATATAGTATTAAGACTGCCATAGAACATAGGGATATTGTCTCATGCACATCTTTTGAATATCTTTTCATTTTATAGCTATCAAATTTCACCTCAGAAGTAGACTTATAATGAAACTATAATATTTCCTTTTGTCAAAGGCAAACACTTGACAAAAACATGGATAAATTTCAAAATAATAAAAGGTTTCTGTTTAGTCCTTTATATTGAAATCAAATATAGTTTACAGGATCAGTGATCTACAAGTGAACATTGATATTGACAGTGAATACATCAACGCTTTGTGAAAATAGGCTAAACAATACTACTTACTTCTTTCCAAGAACTTACCATAATTTTCTTATAAAATTATTAAAAATATAACTTCAATGAATTTTGATTAATACATTGACAATTATTGGATAACAATCTCACTTAAAGAAGTTAAATGTTACATAAAGAAAAACATCATAAAAATTTAATTTACATATTAGGGGTCATACACCATTTTTTACAACTAAGTTCTACATAAATAACAGTCATTTGAAAAAGATTATTTACAGTAATAATTTTATCAAGCTTTTCAAATCCTTAATTTTCAGTTTTCAAGATACCTTTACACTTATGCAACTATTCATTCAATATAGTACATTGTATGAGTACTCATATAAGACATCAAGGCCATTTTATTCAAATGTAAGATTGTCTCATAAATGTTTTTCCAAGAGGTAAATAAAATTTATTTTTACAAAACTTACATGATATTATTTTTGTATTTACCTTCTAGCCAGCTCTTCTGCTGGACGTTTAGGGATGAGTGGATGTGCTAGACAGATCTCCAACATCACATAAGATTTAGCCTCAACATATTGTTGTCCTTCCACATTGACAGGTGCTTGTCCTTCCATCTCTGATCCTGTATCAGACTTAATGGTCTGAGATGCCTATGAGATAATGTTTACATATGGTTAATTGAATTTTTATCATAGAAATGCATAAAATAAACATTAATGAACACACGATCTCCATGCAGGTTAGTAGCATTCTCTTTACATGCAATATAATTATGAGTAAGTCATTCTTCTTTTAACATTTAATCTTGATAATAAACAAATTACTGAAAAGTATGTCCGTGGTATCAATATCAAAATATATTCATATATTGAAATAATTTATAAGAAAAATAATAACATAATCTATCTATAAAAAACACAAAATACTTATATTCACAATATGCTTGTTTATTTTTTACAGTACAATTTATCTTAAATAAAAAATAAATTCATAAAATATAAATAAAGAAAATTACTTGCTAAAAATTAGGCATGTGAATGTGCAAATTGTCCTTAAAAACCTATGTTAACTTTACTATATCAATTGCATTAATCAAAACTAAAATTAGTACTCTCTAATACTTCATCAAAATTAAAAGTACTATAATATTTAAATAACTTCAAATCTTTCATGCAGTCAAGAACAGAAAAAATACAAAGTTTTTAACACAGAAATATATGTCACCTGCAAGTATCAAAACTAAAAAAAGACAGATATTTTTCTGGGAGTGGATATCACTTATCAAGTACTTATAAATTTTACCTGATGCTAATGCAAAAGAAAGGCCAATATCAATGTTCTAATAAAAAGTTCTGACTATTCAAGGTCTATCAATGTGTATGTGTTTATTAATGGACCTTAACAATCAGTAAAAATTTTAAACAATTTAAAGTTAAAAGTAATACTGAGGGTAAAAGCCTCATATTCTTTAGTAATTTAGGTGAAGTTTGCAAATGCAACAGTATACTTTTGATTATCAATTATGAACTCATACTGAAATTATCATGATCAGAAAAATGAGTATGCTGTTGACATCACGGTCAATTCAATGAAGGAAAATCCTATGTCTTGCCTATACGTATAATTGTACCGGGTGTCATAATGAACTTTACAACAATAAAAGCAAACCAAAACTCTTCAATAGTGCAACCATGTCATATTTAAAAGTATATAATGTTGTGCATATTTTCTTAGCCTAAAAAGATGTACCAAATCCATCCAACATGTTAAAATTTAGTTTTGTTGCTACCATTCAATCTTAAAGAACAGACTGATTCAGGCTGAGGAGTACCATTTTAGATTTCAAAATTCTGTAATACATTCCAGACAAAGCTTTTTGAAAGTCACTTCTAGATATATGCTGTGCTCTTCAAGTGTCATCCTTACCAAGCAAACTTATCAAAATATAATTCACACAATTACCCTTTCTGACTGATTGCTTAGGCTATGCAAATCTTTATCCTGTTTAAATCATAAATATCATTTGAAAATTCAAGTTGGACTGATAAAAAATTACAAACGGATTAGGAAAAACAAGATTGCTACAGGGTTGTGTAATGTGCGCCTCCCGCAGCTGTATAAATGAGGAATTAAATTGTGTGTCATAATTTGTCATTGTGGTACACCATGACTCTGACAGCAGTTTGATAAAGTATCTTATTTATTTATAACACAATCATATTTGTCATGCCCCTGTAAAAAATATGATATTCATATTTTATTTATATGTAAAACAGTAAAAACCAAATCAGGCCATAGTTGTAAGAACCTTTGCTGCTATTCAAGAAATTTCTTACAACTTTTAGAGCTTATATGTAATTAAGTTTTGTCATGCATAGATTCAGATCATGATGGCTTAGTTTGTGTTTGGACATACTTTACTAAAGGTATTTTACTTTGTAATATTATAAATTATCACACCTCCATCTTAAAGTTGCTTAGGTCATAGGTCATGACTATTTCTCCAGAGAAAATTCATGTTTTACTAGTCTTAAGGTTTATGGTGCTCTCAATCATAATAGAATATTAAAAACAAATTTTAGATTTCCAAAACTTCATCAACTGGTTAGCCTTAATTTAGGTAATACAAAGAAACCTTACATGATTATCTACCCTGAATGGCTACATATTATAAAACATATAAACAGAAATTCTTTTGTGTAAATTGAACAGTATCTCTATTTAAACCAGATTTCTGTTTGTTACCTTATAACAAATCAATCCCCAAATCTTCTTTTTTTTAAATAGCTGGTCAATGACAGGGTTTAAAACAAAATCATGTTTTATGGTAAAAGCACAGAATTCAACCAAAATAAAGAACAATGGAAAAAAATCTTTGAAACCATTGAAATCATCAAATCTATTCTAACAATTAAGAAAAATAAAGTAAAATGCTACACTATTTTAATCTATGTAGATTTCAATCATGACATGATATGAAGCACAACAAATTTTTTTTTTCATTCAAAAGATGCTACAAGACAGAATATTATAAGTCCTAGGTTTTTTTAACAAGGGAACTATGGTTACAGTTTCAGTCTTCTAGTTAACAATAAGATCTTTACCTCATTAAATAATCCCATTCTTGACATCTGACAGAGGTTTAAAAATAAATTTTTAAAATTGTTAAAACTTTTAATATTAAATATATTGTGGATCAATATTTTATTTTTTGAAATATTCACTTGTTTATAGGCACCTCTCTTGTCTTGTCTAAAATGCAACCTTCTAAATGGATATTGATAGATTCAACATGTTTGCAGACATGTTTATTTTATGACAGAGTGCATTATATTATAGTTAAGCTTAACTGGTACAAATTCAGGGGTATCTGGTTTAAGAGTTGTATTATTTCTGTCGACACACCTGCGGCTCTTTCCACAAAAAATCTGAAGACTAAAATTGATCGCAAGTTATACTGAAATGTTCATGACTTACAAGTACTTTTTCTCGTAAGATTTTTTATGAAATGAGTCGCTGGTCTCGCTCATTTTTTAGTTCATGGGATTACCTCAGTTTCTGTTGGTTACCTTGATTTGTCTCTTCTTCTCTAAGATTTGAACATTGGTAAACTACTGTCCCTTTAATTTAATACCTGGTATTTAGTAATGTGTTTTGCTTTCTAAAGCAATAGCATATTTTCAATGCCCAGTGTAAGGGGTAAATAGTCAACCAGTTAATCTTTATATAGAAGTTATTTCTAACCAAACAGAATACTTTTTACAATTCATTGCATTTTTTTAATGTTTTTATTCCAATACATTTATTCAATATGAAATAGCTGTTTATTATACCACTAATGTTTTTTTCTGTAAAATTCTTCAAGATTAAACAATTTGATGATTTATCGATTTTTTTTTAAAAAGTTGACATATGTTAATTTGCAAAACTAAACAAAAAACTGCAATTCAAGTGATCTGTGTATTACATGAATAATCAGATTTATTCTATTGATAAATTACATTAATATAGCAATGGTGAATAAAAGATCTTGTATGCAAAACACATTAATATTTATGCTGTACTAGTTTGTATGTTTTCAACAAACAATTTTTTTATAATTTTAGTATATTATATAATAAATCTCCCTTTTTTATAACTTGTTCGGATAAAAACCATTTCCATTCCAGAAATTTTTCAAGCCATTCCATTTTCTTGGAATACAGTAAGTATCTTTGCTTGCAATTTTTTTGTGCTGAATTTTGAAATCTCATTGTCATATCCTACCATGCTGTATCATGTACAGAATGTTGTTACTAACTGAACATACACTGTACTGAAAAACAATACTGAAGGGTAAAATGGCAGAGTGAATGAAATCAACCTTTTTGAAACATTATTTATGCAAAGCATATTCAAAATACTTTTAGACAATTTAAAAATTTATGAGACAGAAATTGAATACTGTAAAGATGATATAAGGAAACATCCACATGCACTTTCTATGTCTGCTGTGTGTCTCATAATAGTTTGTAACCAGTCCTTTGAGAACAAAATAAATAAGATGTGTTTACTGCTATTCATAATTATTAGACTCTAATAAAAGGGGGAAAAACATAATTAAACAGTGAAGGCCTGTATTTTCTGCAGACATCTAGAATGATCAACCCTTGAATAATTGTTGTACTCCAAAATAACCAGCAGAAACAAGAAATACATTTTTGTAATAACATCACATGAACAATTCTCGACATCTACAAAAAGATCCACGCTAAAACTGTGTATAATAAAAGCTAAATTGTTTGTTAAAAATCCTTTTGTCACATCAAAGCATTAAACACATTGTTGGTTAAAATCATAACAAACACACTCTGAAATATATGTGACATGGTGATATTAAAACATGTAATGTGATTGGTGAATTAAAGATATAGGGTGGGATTGTGTGGATGTCACTCAAGGCTGACCTCAGCTGGTGTTTGGCTGGAAGGTGGAGGCGGAGCCTGCTGTGTTGTACTCATTGACCTCTGTAAAGATGACTGTGTGATACAAATGTCATGCAATACTCCTTATCATGCAACAGACTTAGTTAAAACATAACCAGTGATAAATGATAATTTTGTTTCCTTGAAACCATTCTGCACTGCACAAATGTAATACATCAGTATTAAGCATTGGAATGCAAAATTTATTTTACTATTAAACTTAAGTGCAATGTGTCCATAAATGTGTGATATGAATAATGAAAACAACATAATTTATAAAGGAAGTGCACCCCAGATTCCTGATAATTCAGCTATTCCAAAATATTGCATTAATATTGTCTTAATTAATTTCCCCTGACCAATTTAACCAATTGTGATTACAAATAATCTAGATGTCATCTGGCCTCTTTACCTTATCTGATTTAATTTCCCATCCCTTCAAACATGTTTTAGTTATGAATGTACTGTAGGAATATAGTAACAAAATAAGGTACAGCAGGTATTGTGTGAAACAAACCCGACGTCCAGCCAATCGTGATGAACCCAGTCGTGATGGTATTGTAGGAGTTAGTAACGGACCATAATTATTAGAAGGCATCGGTCCAAGATTATCAAAGTCATCATCTTCTGGTATAGATGAAATCATTACAGTTGGTTTTGACTGAGAGGATTGATTAGAACGCATTGCTGAACCATTCCTAGATTGTCCTGTGCGAGAGGGACCCATTCTAGAGGTAGAACCCATGGAGGAACCCATTGAAGATTGTCTCTAAATATAACAGTAAAGAAATGTCAGCAATGATGTTGACTAATTTATGACAATTTCACTTGTTTACAGATCTTTTATGAAAATTAAAATGTTGAGCAGATCCAATGCATATAATGTAGATATTAAATAGAGGTGGTGTTACAAGTTTTTTTATTATAGAAACTGAATAAGGATTTTATACATAGGACTTCCATATATTTTCTTTGCAATGGCAGAGTAAATTCTGAGAAAATAAAAAATGTGATTTCCCATAGGGTTCAACAAGAACCAATGTGGCATCATAGCTACTATGTATGTCAACTGATCAACATGAAATAAAAAAACTTCTTAAAACTCTCTTAATAATCATAGCTACAAAGTCAGAAAAGATATAACCATGTTATTTCATAAGCAAATCAATTTGGAAACCAACCTATCAAATATAGAGTTTTTTTGTATCTGAACTGAACTGAACAAATTGCAAAACTTTTAATTATGCACCTCACATATATTATATACATTACAAATTTGGTTTCGTTTAACCTATTATTTGAGAAGATACACTTTAAATGTGGGGAAAAGGGATAGACTGAGATGCAAGATGGGCTAGGTAAGATAAAAATTTCAATCCTTATAATTGAAAAACAACCTGGATTAGTGTTTCAATGTCAGTGTGTAAAAGATGACCAAGAATGTAAAATCTTATTTGTCACTGAATTGCCTGAATAAAGTCATAATCTTTGTATGGTATCTGAAACTTGCACTGCATCATTCATTTACAATAAACCATGCCTTTTTATCAGGTAAAAATTGTATAATTAAGCAGACAGCTAATCATGCTCCGTCAGATCAGTATTAATCTGATGCATGACACACATTTTTTATGATTAAGATGCTAGCTACTATATATGGAAATGACAAATCTTCATCAGATTAGCACATTTATACATTTAAAGGTAGGGTAAACCTTTTTATTTTAAACAAGCAATTCCAAACCTAGCGCTATGTCTATCTTGTAAAATTAGCTGACCTAAACCTATGCTTAAACTCTTGTTTAAAGTTCATGCTCAAAACATGCAGACAAAAACCCTAAAACTCAATACCTGTTTCATTCTTTAGGAATCAGCACAAGCAGACCTAAACCTATGCTTAATATTTCTATTATTCTTTTTGATCAACAGATCAAGCAGACCTAAACCTAAAGCAAATTCTTCCTTTTATCCATTAACTAACCTCATGAGGCACTGCTGAGCTATGATGTAAAATACTACCCGATCTCTGTAATTAATTATTTAGAAATTTACCTAACCATCCGAGTATGATTGGAAAGAATAACTTAACTACATGAGGCGATAACGAATTATTCAACTAAATAAAACTTTTAAATTCAAATAGTAAATAATTCATAAAGGGTTCATTTGCCATTTTCATTGAAGTTGAGACAATAAATTTGTTTAATAACTACTTTAAGAAACCCAAAAACCAACAAATACCAATTAATAATTGTACTGTAGGCAAAGAAAATTAAAGAACAATATTAAATTACATATGAAATATTCTATTTCTACATTATAAATTAACATTTTCCTCTAAACCTTTTATCACCAAAAAAAATGCACCTCCAATATTCTCCCTAATATGATATTCAATACCTCAGAGTGGAATGAATTACTCTTAGGAAGTAATTGTGTAGGTGTGTAACTTTTAATTAGAGTGGGAATCAATGTCATCATCTGTAAACATAGTCATTTGTCAATATCTTTGTGGTACGAAGAAAGAACAGTTACTAAAGAAATACTTACATTGTTCAAAACTTAACCATAGAGTTTTTCACATTTACAGACTTAACTATAAACATCAAATAATCTAATCAGGGCTATTCCATTAAAGTGTATGTGGGAGGGTAGGAAGGGACTTTCAAAATATCCCTACAACTAAGAACCATTTTTTAGATAATTTTGCATAATGGTAACAGACGCATACTGAAAAAAAGTCCCATGAACCACATTCAATAATTAAACTTCCCTTCCTACCCTCCAACATACATTTAATTGGAAAAGCCCTCATACAGACCTGACCGAAAAATCCAAACTAATTCTGAAGACCCCAGGAGATTTCTTTTGTGCTGACAGTTTGTAAAATAATTTTTCAAAGACCTAATAATATTTCACATACAGAATATAACAGATTTGCATGGGTCTAGCGGTAAATTGCAAAAAAAAATTCATTCCAATTCAAAACGCATAATTTTGTCCACGCTTTTTTCAATTTTTCTTAGTTATATATAACACCTACCCCCTTCTTAACATCTTTATCTTTCTTATCATCCTTGTCTTTACCAGGCTTCTTAGGGAAAGGAGAGGCACTGTTCCTGTTGAGAATATTGAAGGCAATCCTTCCTGCTTCCTCGCCATAACCAGTTTTCCTTTTTGTCTGTTTTATGTAGATTTAAAAGGCATTAATTTAAAAAGTATATTTCTAATAGGTAAATGACAACAGTTTTAATAAGTAAACTTCAGTTGAAGAAAACAGAAATTGTATTTTACAAGAAGAAAACCATATTTACCTGAAAATAGTATTCAAAGAAAAAATATCTGACAATGACTATTTCCAAATTTTCCTAATGTATGTCTTTTTATAATTTATATAATAGATGAACTTTGAACCTCTGAATTGTCATATTTGTCATACTTAAAATATTTCCAATCTGTTTTATCAACAACAAACTTATAATAAATAATGAGGAAAAAAACTGTTCATTGTATGATCTTATTACCTTTTCATGCATAGCATGGTCAGTGTAGGCATGGACTTTGTATGCTCCTCTTATTCTCTTTACTGAAATATAAAAAAAATAATGAAGGATCACATTGTGTGATAAAATGTCTTTTTTCTTACCAGTATATTAAATTATTACTAACAAGTTGCTTACATTCATGTCATTTGGACTCCAGTGGATAGTTGTCTCATTGTCAATAATACCACAATTCCTCATTTTCATATGGTAATATGATTTCAAATTTATAATTTTTTTGGTACATCTATCACAGACAGAAACTTAATTGCTGTGCAATATTATCTGGTTTTTTATTACAAAGATTATTTGGCAACACTTTTATGTTATAATTGAAGTCCATTTACTTTGCAGTTTCCTATTTCTGTATTTTTTTAAGAATCGATAAATCTCTGAACTAATTTTCATACATATTTATCTATTTCAAAGGGAAAAAGTTGATAATACATTACCTCCTGGGTACAACAGTGGGGCTAGGTTAACAAAGGCAACACCATGGTAACTAATGGCACCCTCATCATCCTACAAAGTAAGGAAAATCATTATATTTTTATCAATTCACTGGTATTATACATTTTTTCTCATTTCCATAGCTTCAGTATTTTAAACCCACTGGAAAACAGCTTATCTTAAAATTTAACTTTTTTTCTAAGTTTTTTTTCTAGTTACATGTTACTTTTTTATTTCCTCAATAAGGGAAAATAGATTTTCATTTCAGAAGTAAAAACGGGCACTTCAATTAGTAATTTGGGAAGAAAAAATATTTCTTTTGAAACAAGATGTGATGGCACAAGTTAGATAATTGCAGAAAATGATTACAAAAGGGTGTAACATCAATACTTGTCAAATATTGTTCAGTCCAAAATCATAATCTTTATATAAATTTATAATAAATAATCTCATATATATCTCTACACGTGCAAATTTTAATTTAACGTGCTCGGTCTATTAATGTGCATATCTATTTAGAATAAACAGTAATATAACTTTACTGCAAAGTGGTGTGTTTTTGGAGAGTTCAAATTTAACGATTTCTAGGAACAAATTTTTTTTTTTCTATTTTCTTGTAACTAAAATTAGCGAAAATAAATATATTGTGAAATTTCACCACTTTACAGTTGTTACAATTTGGTGACTCTTCAGATTGCTACTAGCCAATTAATGTTGTTTGGTTGTTTGTATGACAAAAATATATGTAAATCAAGCTAACTATAATTTTTGTCATATGGAAAAAAATGACAATTTTTTTTATCTCAAGAATGCAATCTTAAACGGACTGCATTTTTCTAAACATAAAATAATTTATTTCAATTACTACAATATTTTCTCATTCCAAAAAATTTCTACACAACAAAAAAAATCATCTACCACTCCAAAAATCATCTATAAAAATGGCATCTCCTTTTAAGTATAGTAGAATACATACTGGTACAGGTAACTTAAAAATAATTATAAATAGTGTAGTATGCTATAATTGTGTTCATGCTACAAATAAGTCCATGTTTACCATCAATGTTGTCTGAAGTACATAACAAAAAACAGATACTGGTGAAACCATAGAAATTTGGTTTAATCCACAGAGGACAAACATAATTTAGTTAACCCCATTCACCAGAATACCATAATATCAGTGTATCAAAAAGAATGCTAGTGAATGTCTGTACCTTTAAAATACATGTCTGAAAACTGAGCTAACCAAATTGATATTTTCACTATCAAGCTCTACTTAAATTCTAATAAGACATTTCCCTCAAAAATTCATGGTGAAAAATTATCCTCCTAAGTATGTAGTGGAAGCAGTCAAATGTAGCCATTTTATAAATAATGAAAAAAACACACTTCAATGACATAAAACGATACAGTATATGTCAAATCCTGTTATATTTTAGTTTTAAAAAATGGCAGATTTTTATCCAAAATGTATCAATTCTGTATTCAATTTTTTTTACTAAATACTGTTAACTGGACTTTGGGCAAAGTGTTTTGAAACCTTATAGATAGACAGATATACCATAGACACATTCCAAACCATCTTTAGCCTTGCATAGAACATTATCTTAACTTCAAGTCATGCACAAATTCCTCATCATACAATGAATTCAAAACAAAAAATGCCTATATCATTAGAAAATGTAGCATCAGACAACATAAAATATATCTACACTTTAACAATTATATTTTTTATAATATACCATATAAACAAACCTTGTATTTCCCCACTGAAGTCTGCTAATGCATTACAGATAGAAAAAAAATCTAATGTAAATTTATAATATTAACCAATCAAAAAAGGACAGTGGTACTGAGTCTGCTCTTAGAAGGTTGATAATTAAAAAAAAAGAAGGTAATATCACTTTTTTCAACCATTAGGAGCAAAGATCACAAGTAAAACCACTTCCTATGCAATAGATATATGTATCTGAAGCTTATTGCAACACCAGTTCTAGCTTTCCTTTGTAATGTTTACTGTGATACCTCTAAAGAATCTACTAAAGTTATATATTGTTTTGCATGTTGGTTAACTGTTTAAGCAGAAACTCTGAATTGGTGCAGATTTAAAAGAAATGTGTCTCATTACTTCTGTTCAAAAGTGATCAACAATATAATAACACATGAAAACATAGCAATTGAGTCATTTTTTTTTTTCAATGACAGATTTAAAATTAAAAAAAATAAACCCATAAAAGAAATTGATGGAAAAACGCTAATATTAAAGGTTTTCTACATTGAAATCTAGATTTGAATTACAAATTATGGAAATATTCAAATCATATGAGATATTTGAAGAAAAATATATATCAAAACTGTGGAATGAAAGTAAATGTATAAAAAAATAAAGAATAGCACAAAATATTTTGTCTACGGGAGGGTTACATCTTATATATAACAAAAATTCTCTGCATTTCAACTAAATCATTGCTGATCACATGACATAATAATGGGAGAAAAACTTTCAGTACTTACTGTTTGTGCACCCTGTACAGTAAAGTGATATATCAATTTATATTCTATAACCAGGAAGTGTAATTCAACTTACATCATATATTTGTTACTCTCATATACTAGTTTCTCCCCCTTTCAGGTACAGTATTCAATTCATGACACTTGACAGATATTCAAATTTTTTAAGCAAGATCTGTTTTTGGGGAAATTATTCTACTGTTTAGAAATTGTAATATGAAAATTCAACAAATTATCAATAAAGAAATAATATTGTACTTCATTAAATAATGGCGCTACAAGAATTTAAATTTCTAAATGCTGATTTTTTTCAACATCACTTGGAGCTTAACATTAAATTTTTTTGCAAAGAGGTTACAAATCAGTTCCACATTTTTACTGATAAAACTTTCACTTCCTTGCATTTTTAAAAATATTTCTGAATCATTTAGAAAAGTCGTTTTATTCAAATATAGTCAAACCAACATATAAAGGTCACCCTCAAAACCAGAGAAATCTGACCTTATAAGAGGGGTGCAAAATTTCGTACTTCATCAGGACAAGAAGGCAGTGACCTAACAAGACAGGTTTAATAGAGGTGATCTTTATAGCAGGTTTGCCTGTATGATGAATTCTGTAATATATTACATACAGCAAAAGAAAATTAATAAAATGCTTCGCTGGGGCGCAGCTTGATACGACCGCAGAGGTCGAACCCTGAACAGTTGGGGCAAGTATGGACACAACATTCAAGCTTGATACAACTCTGAATTTGGATTGCTATTAAATATTTGACACAGCATAGGTTTCTGACACAGAAAGAATGTGGTCTAAGAACTTGATTTTTTTTAATTTACCTATTATGGTCCAATGTCCAAAATCAAAATACATGGTTAGATTCAGCATATTAAAGAACCCCATACATTCAATTTTTGTTAAAATCAAACAAAGTTTAATTTTGGACCCCAACTTGGACAAACTTGAAAACTGGGCCCATAATCAAAAATCTAAACACATGTTTAGATTCAGCAAATCAAAGAACCCCAAGAATTCAATTTTTGCTAAAATCAAACTAAGTTTAATTTTGGACCCTTTGGACCTTAATGTAGACCAATTTAAAAAACGGGACTTAAAATTAAAAATCTAAATACACGGTTAGATTTGGAATATCAAAGAACCCCAATAATTCAATTTTTGATGAAATCAAACAAAGTTTAATTTTGGACCCTTTTGACCTCAATATGAACCAATTTGATAGCGGGGCCCACAAATAAAAAATCTAAATTCATGGTTAGATTCAGCATATCAAAGAACCCCATATATTCAATTTTTGTTGAAATCAAAAAAAGTTTAATTTTGGACCCCAACTTTGACCAACTTGAAAACTGGGCCCATAATCAAAAATCTAAACACATGTTTAGATTCAGCATATCAAAGAACCCCAAGAATTCAATTTTTGTTAAAATCAAACTAAGTTTAATTTTGGACCCTTTGGACCTCAATGAAGACCAATTTAAAAAACGGGACCCAAATTAAAAATCTAAAAACACGGTTAGATTTGGCATATCAAAGAACCCCAATAATTCAATTTTTGATGAAATCAAACAAAGTTTAATTTTGGACCCTTTTGACCTCAATATGAACCAATTTGATAGCAAGGCCAACAAATAATAAATCTAAATACATGGTTAGATTCAGCATATCAAAGAACCTCATATTTTCAATTTTTGTTGAAATCAAAAAAAGTTTAATTTTGGACCCCAATTTGGACCAACTTTAAAACTGGGCCCATAATCATAAATCTAAATACATGTTTAGATTCAGCATATCAAAGAACCCCATATATTCAATTTTTGTTGAAATCAAACAAAGTTTAAATACTGGACCCTATCTTGGACCAACTTGAAAACTGGGCCCATAATCAAAAATCTAAACACATGTTTAGATTCAGCATATCAAAGAACCCCAAGAATTCAATTTTTGTTAAAATCAAACTAAGTTTAATTTTGGACCCTTTGGACCTTAATGTAGACCAATTTAAAAAACAGGACCCAAAATTAAAAATCTAAATACACGGTTAGATTTGGAATATCAAAGAACTCCAATAATTCAATTTTAGATGAAATCAAACAAAAGTTTAATTTTGGACCCTTTTGACCTCAATATGAACCAATTTGATAACGGGGTCCACAAATAAAAAATCTAAATACATGGTTAGATTCAGCATATCAAAGAACCCAATATATTCAATTTTTGTTGAAATCAAACAGTTTAATTTTGGACCCCAATTTGGACCAAATTGAAAACTGGGCCAAAAATCAAAAATCTAAATACATGTTTAGATTCAGCATATCAAAGAACCTCATATATTCAATTTTTGCTACAATCAAACAAAGTTTAATTTTGGACCCTTTGGACCTTAATGTAGACCAATTTGAAAACTGGACCCAAAATTAAAAATCTAAATACACTGTTAGATTCGGCATAACAAATAAATAAATGTGATCAAAGATTTTACAAATCTAATGCGCCATACTGTGCAATTAAAGATTACTTCTTAAAATTTTTCAATATTTGAAATTTGAAAAAAAAAAAATATTTGAGGAATAATTCTTTTTAATTTCTGAAATCTGAAATGAGAAAAAATTGCCCCCCCCCCCCCCCACAATTTCTTTTTATCCCCCCCCCCCCTTTTTTCCCTTAAAAAAATTCTTTCCCTCAAGATATGGTCATAATCTCAATTCAAATTTCCAATGGAGTTGGCAACCATAATTACCCATTTAAATTTACCATAGTGCTAACTTAATCTATTTTATAATAGAATTAAAAATATAGTGTCAAATCATTCATATGGATTTTTTTGTAAAAAAAAAAGATGCAACATTTGCAGATATTTTTACTGGTCTTCCTTTATAAATATGCATTTCTTTAAACATAATTTAAGTGTAAGGGAAGTAACCAAAACGTTGTATTTGGATTACCTCCCTTACACTGTTTTAAATTATCTTTATTGTTCATTAACCATTACTTTATACATAATTTAAAAGCAGTGTAAGGGAGATAATTTCAATGATGTATTTGATTTATCTCCCTTACACTGCTTTAAATTATGTTTTGTACTAAAGTATTTGTCCATTAACCAGGACAACCTTGTTTTTCCCCCTTTTTTGCCCCTAATTCCTAAACGGTTTGAGCCATAACCCCCCAAAGCAAATCCTAACCATCCCTTTGTGGTATGATAACTTGTAGTATAATTTCAGAGAGATCCATACACCGTTCCACAGTTATTGCCTGGAAACTAGAAAATGCTTATTTTTGGCCCCTAATTCCTTAACTGTTGTTACCTTAACCCCCAAAATCAATCCCCACCTTCCTTTTGTGGTATTTAACCTTATGGTCAAATTTCAAAAAGATCCATTCACTTAAACTAAAGTTAGAGTGCGAAAACCAATGTGTCTTCGGACGACGACGCCGGACGACGACAATGCCAACGTCATACCAATATACGACCACAAAATTTGTTTGCGGTCGTATAAAAATTGATGCGCTGAACACTTTTTCCATTGCAAAAACAAAATGGGAAAAAATCAAGACTTGTTGGCTTAAACTTTTTCCACATTCCGTGAACATTCAAGCAGAAATCAAACTAAACACAGCAGCATTAAAATGCGGTCAAGGCCATATTCCATATATATCAAACTTATTTATACTCCTTACATATGGGGCATTTAGGTCATCCTCTTATTCCTGTAGAAAATCAGAGTTTACCTAAGTTAATATATTCAAACCATCTTATCAAACTGGTATGTGGACGCTTATGTAGTTTATTTAGGTTTAGCTAGCTATTAAACCAGGTTTAATCAATAATTTTCTACATAAGGAAATGCCTGTACCAAGTCAGGAATATGACAGTTGTTTTCCATTCGTTTGATGTGTTCTAGCTTTTGATTTTGCCATTTGATAAGGGTCTTTCCGTTTTGAATTTTCCTTGGTATTTTTGTTATTATACTTTTTAGTAAATAACTTTAATGACTTTTAATTGAAGACTAGATAAAAACCTTCAAGGGGTAACTTATATATATGAGGGCAACAACAGTTTTGATACATTTCAAATTCTCAGCATTGATACATAATTTTAGCCATTTATATCTGTTGGCTTTTTCAAACAACTAAATACCTGTTTGTTAAACGCTTGACTTGAATTATTCTGCAAGATTTTTTACTGTTATTGAATTAGAATTCTTAAATATTTTTAAAAATCATCAGTTGCAAGATTTTTTTATTTTATATAGTTTGTATGTTAATAAATAACAAATTTTCATAGTTATGAAATATATATTAATGTTTAAATACACCAAATATAGCTGTGTATTGTTCTGATTTCTCCTAATCTTCTTAATGATCAAAAGAAGTTGGTGCTTAAATTAATAAGCATCAATGCAAAATCTTAAGGTTCTTGTGGTGTTTTCCGACTGTCTTTTACTTTTAGCCATGGTATTTTCTGTCTTTCTTCAACATGTTTTTTTACTGCCCCCTGGTTTCTTATCCTCTTTTTTAAAGTTAAAATTTTTTATATGAAGAAACTTCGATGAAATACTTTAAAGTAGAATTTAATAATAATTAATGATAGAGCATAAAAAAAGAGCTTTAATTTGCTGCAATTTAAAAGAAGGCTGACATTCCAAGTGAATTATATACTGTGGATTCATTTTTATTCGTTGTATACCAATTTTCGTGGGTTTCATTGGTCACAGTGAACCACGAATTTAAGAATTCAACGAAGAATAATCCCGAGAAATGTGTATGGAGTCGGATGTTTATTTCCGGTTATTTTATGCAGTTCTAGTATAGTGTTGACTAGCGATAAACATTGAAACATAACACATGTTTTTAATGAAAGAAGATACAAGTATTAATATCAGTGATAATTTACTTTTTAAAATTGATTAAAACTGTTCATGGAAAATAATTGCAAGTTGTTAATTACCGTGTCATAGTTTGGTTTACTGGTGATCAAAAATCAGTAGGATTAAGTACGGGGATATTGCCCGTAGGTAATATTGTTTTATGACAGGAACATTTATTTTCACACCTTTTACTTATGCGACTGTTTATTATATCGTGATTAGGGAATGAGCTTTCAATCATAGAGTTTTGAATGCCTTATAAAATTCCGCCAGAATTTATAAATTGTAAAACAACAAACAAATAATTAGTTGTCTCTGTCCATTATTGTTATAGAAGTTTTCAATGAACACTTTAACCTAGAATGACCAAGCAAGGATTTTGACAATTCAAAACTTTTTCAATGAACTCCTTCTTTTTTGTTTGTTTTATTATTGATCAAACCAAGGAGGTTATATGATCTCCTAAATAAAAAAAAAATCCACAAAATACGTATCTGAATTTTTTTTTTTTTTGTAATCAGCGATCCACGAATTTACGTTTACCACGAAACGCCTTTTTTTCTTTATCCACGAAAATTGATACCCACGAAAATAAATGAATCCACAGTAAGAAAATTTTATTTCATTTTACAAATATATTCAAACACAACAATTAACTGAACTTGACCTGATGTATCTTGTAAGAAAAGAATAATTCATGAACTTTACCTTTTTTCCTTTAGCTGCTGCTGGTTGAGGCAGCCTCATAACTTCTACTGGCCAGAAACGACACTTAGCAATCTTATCCTGAAAACTATTACAAGGAGAAAAACATAAATTTTGAGGTAGTACATCTTCAAAACCATAATTAGCTAGTTTTTAATTTCCCAATGTTTAATCTCGAAGAAAAATAAGCTTTAAAGATTGTAGAATAGTCCTTGTATATTCAAATACAGCTTCATGACATACATAATGTTAGAAAAAGCTATTCTATTGATAAACCAATGAGAATACAGACAGTGTTAAAAGGGATGTTTAAGATTTTCAGAAATAAAATGCAAGTCAATACAATAAATGTTTATTTTTCATTCTAACAGACCAGATAAACTTCCATATAAACAGACTATACCAATGTAATAAGCACTTAATAAAGATGGAGCATCAGAGGGCTTCACTGGATTTAGTTTCATCAGGAATGCTCAAATATTTTTTAGGCCAAGAGTGCTTTAATACTTGAAAACTTGAGGAGCTAAATGGGACCTTAAATGAATATCTATGTCTCTCTTCGGTCATCTTTGCCAGAGTAAGTTTTAAAATGTTTTGGTAATTTCATTTAATATATGAACCAAAAAAGACTTTTTACCTCTTTTCTGCAGAAATATCCATATAGCATCTCCTTTCTGTATTCCAAGTGACACGTAACTTTTCTGTTTCAGCAGAGTGTCTGTGTTCCCTGTCCTCTTTTCCACGAAATTCACCATCCTCATCTTCTACAGGGTCACTTGGTATAAAACTACAAAGAAAAATGTGTCCATGAGAAAAAATGTTCTTATGCTTTGGCATAAATGTTTTCCTCAGACAGAACTGAATGTCAAATAGAAATAGAAATAAATGTCCTTAATTAACATTCCTTTGGCATTATTATTTTCTGAATGCCCTATACTAAATACTGTAAATTCAGATTTTTTTGTAGTGAACCAGACTAGAAAATATTTTACTAAAAGTTGTATCTTTGATTGGTAGCTATAGTGATCTTATTTTATATATTAAGAAATTACTTTTTTATAAAAATGTGGGTTTCTGGAAATGTACCAAAAGCACTAAATTTATTCAGTCTAGCTGCAAAAATTATGTACTTTTTCTAAAAAAAATAATTTTAATTTAAATTCTTTAAATACACATTAAATACAAATTTCAGGAAGATTTCATGATTTCTAAAAAATAAATCACCTACCTAAACACACTAAACCATGAAGGTGAGGTCATAAAATGGGAAAGAAACAATTTTTTATTGGTGGTTTACATTTTCAGGGGTGGGGGGAATAAAAATGTTAATTTTATAAAAGTGACATTTCATTGTGTTATATCTTTTTTGATAAAAAAAAATATCCCCAAATCCCATCTTTATAATATGAACTTAAAGAATATCTATTCAGAATCACACTTATAAGCCTTGCAATATTTTCAGTCATCTAAGATTTGCAGTAATGTTAGTATGCATTACAGACAAATCCTGAATCTGATACATGTTAAAAGTGAATATATCAGGAAACATACTGGAGCTTAACTGTTTCTATATGTCAGATTTCATAAAAAAAAATATAAGTTTTGACTTTAGTAACTATTATAGAAATATATTTCTATAGAACAAATGTTTGAAATTACTATCAAACAAGAATGTGTACATAGTACACAGATGCCCCACTCACACTATCATTTTCTATGTTCAGTGGAACGTGAAATTGGGGTCAAAACTCTAATTTGGCATTACAATTAGAAAGATCATATCATAGGGAACATGTTTACTAAGTTTCAAGTTGATTGGACTTCAAATTCATCAAAAACTACCTTGACCAAAAACTTTAACCTGAAGCGGGACAGACGGACGGATGGAAGAACGAACAGATGCACAGACCAGAAAACATAATGCCCCTACTACTATTGTAGGTGGGGCATAAAAAGAAGCAGAAGACATCTAAGGGACAATAAAAATCATATGTGGAAGAAAAATTGACAAAATTATGGTGAAAAAAGAAAAACAACTTTTCACAAAATACTACATAAAAAACTTATAGACTGAGCAACATGAACGCCACCAAAAACCTGGGATGACCTCAGATAAGTTTGAACAAGTCTAATCCAATGCTTTATTGGTATACCATATATATTTACCTTTCTGGAATGTAAACAGCATTCCCCTGTGCAGAACCAGGAGATGCCCATTTCTTCTGCTTGTTTGGGACTTCCTTGTCAGTACCAGGTTTCAATTGACCACTAGCAAATACGACAGGTACTTCTTTCTAAAAACAAAAATTTAAAAGTCATAAATACTTAAGCTGAATGGTTAGATTTTCACTCAAATCAACAATAAAAATTCCATTGGCTTAAACATTATTTTTTATTACACTTAAATCCTATACCGATCACCAAATGTAAATAAACTCTACACCTTTTTGATGCTGTTCTCCAAATATTTTAGAAGATTTCCTTGTGTACATCAACACCATATCCACTGAGTTACTCAATATTTGGTATGCTATCATTTTCTACAGTTAATAGTTAAGAAAAAAGAAATGCTGTGGATTCTTTTATTTTGTTTGTGCCAATTTCATGTATTGAGACAAAAATAATATTTTCTTCAATAATTGATTTGGTCATGGATAGCAGATTTTTATTGTTGAATACTCTTATACCTACAAAACCCACAAAAAAAAAGTACCTAACGAATAATAATGAATCCACAGTACCCTTTTAGGTAATGAAATACAAAAGGGTTTAGTGGCAACTTCTACAATTATTTTGAATGGTTCCCACTGAATTAAAGAATAAATCTCAATTTTCTTTCTTTTTACCGTTTATCTAATAAATCAATCAACTAAAAATCCATAAATGAGTATAACTTACATCAGCAGCTACAGGAACTGGTAATGCTGTAGCATAAGCATACTGGGTCCCTGCCATTGTCCATGACTCAGGAGGTGCATACACTGTTTCTACTGTGACGGTCATCAAATTACCAATTCCTTGCTCTTGTACATCCATCAAATGATCATTGACGCAAATAGATACATCTATTGTTGGCTGGTTAAAATAATTAATAATGTGATTGAGTAAACTAAATGTTAAAGATGTATTGTAAGTTTTAAGCAAAAATTTAAGTTAGAATGAAAGACATCTTGATTTATTTTGATAATCTGTTTCTATTTCGCAATAGTTCTGCTCTCATATTGGGACGTCACTGGTAACTTCACCTCACATTTCAAATCTGTAATACTAGTATTACAGAGAGGCTGGGCAGGGTGATAAAAACATAGGTTAATACAAAAATGAAAAAAACAGTATTATTCATATCTTCTGTATTGCCATGTAACTCAAAATGGTCATCGGCTTACACTCAATAAGAAAGACGTAATATTGCAGCTTTCACTAAATACTATGGTGTTCGTTGCTGAATGACTCGAACATCACCACATTTTTACAACTACAGCTACTGTATGAAGTTTTCTTTAGTTCATTTCCATCATCTAATAAGACCAATTTCATATTTCATTTTTCTATATACAAGAGATTGTAATTTTACATGTAGACAAGGCATAATACTTAAGTACTTTTAAAAAAAATTCTCATTGACCCAAAATTTAAAAAAAACCTAAAATGGTTGTAAGTCTTACCCTTGGATTTTCTGGAGGAATACTCTCTAATGGTGAACCTGGTGATGGGTTGATGGTCAATGAATATACTTCTTTTGTTTTTCCTGAGAGAAAAAAAATATTTAATAAATTATATACATGCATTTCTTTTTCAAATAAAACTGCTTTCATGTTAATCATGGCATTATTCACTAGCAAGATGGAGCATGGATTGAATCACTGAACTTATTATCCTTGGGAATGTTTCAACTTATTCTAAATATATATCTCATTCCTAATTGATATTTACTTTTTGTTTGTTCAATATTTACCTTTAAGCAAAGGAAGTAAATCAACTGTGGCTTGTCCAAGAGGAGTTATCTTTTCTTCTTTCTGCTTCTTCTCTTTTGGTAAGACTTCAATAACAGTCACTGAAAAATGAAATGAAAAATTATAAGCTGGTTCACTGTAGGAGGAGTTATCCGGAAACGCTATGCACCTCTTATGCAAGTAAATACTCCAAAAAATGACAAAGTTCAACTATCTCCCAAAAAGCAGATATAAATAAAAATCGAAACCCAGACCACATGCACACCTTCAATATATGTACAAACAGCCAGCAAAGTGAAAACTTCCTAGCATTCAAACTGTAGGAGGAGTTATTCGGAAACACTATGCACCTCTAATGCAAGTAAATACTCCAAAAAACGACAAACTTCAACTATCTCCCAAAAGAGCAAATATTAAAAAAATCAAAACCCTGACCACATGCACACCTTCAATATATGTACAAACAGCCAGCAAAGTGAAAACTTCCTAGCATTCAAACTGTAGGAGGAGTTATCTGAAATAGCTATATACCCATAATGGGACGGATGGAAGGAAGGACAGACGGACGGACAAGGGTAAAACAATATGCCCCCAACTTTCAGTTGCAGGGGCATAAAAAAGTAAAAATTTGTTTAAGTCTGATTTATTTATACGCTTACTGATTTATGTGTAGTTCACTTTCAAAACTTTTGCCATTTAAAATTCAATAGTTCTCACTAAGGCAAGTCCATGAGTCCTGGACTCCTGAAATCTGTCTGGGCTCATCATTTTCAAAACTGGTGAGCCCAAAGATGCATTAAGATTGTAAAATGCTGTATCAACTGAGCACATCTATCATCATTTTATATCAAAAATTTAAAAATAATTTAAATTTGATGTCATTTTCTTGCTCTTTTTTCATGGAGACTGCTACAATGAAATATATAACAATACAATTCCACCTTCTCACTGTTGGACTCGCCATGGCCAAAAATGATAAGTCCGTGGACTTACCTTAAAAAATCCTTAGTTAGAACACTGATATTATTCATGATAAATTATTCCAGAAACCTGTGTTGTCAATGTGGGTATCAAATTTTGTTACAGTATTTACTGATTTGAAAAACTCTCTCTCAAGTCATGATTGGAATCTGAGATTAATCTTCAGTCATTAGCTAGTTGCCCCCATGTCAGGGCATCTTTGATTGAGGATCAACTTCCAGATTCAGTTACTCAAAGCTAGATCAATTATATTCATATTCAGGTATATACAGTCGAACCTCGTTGTGTCGAAGTCGAAGGGACCGGACCAAAGTATTCGACTCACCCGAGGTTCGACTCATCCGAGGTCGAGTGTGTCGTCATAAATTTGGAATGCATGAACTACGGTATGAGATTTGTGTAAACTAGATACAATGAACAGTGTGCCTTTTTTCGATATGACACTTTATGATTGTGTATTCAATCTCCATTTTTGGTCCTTCGTAATAATTAAACACACAAGTACAGATACAAATCATGCACAAATAAAATCAATAGTCTACACAAATATTTACAAATGTCAGTCACTATAAATTATGAAATCCCTCGCGGCACGAAATAAGTTCTGAACGATCTCTGATGAGGTCGTCTGCTTTACATTAAATTATCATGAATTTATTATAATCGCCTAATCCTTTTATTTATTGTAATTAATGAGTTTTAAATCTAACGTTTCATTTAATCTCGGCTTGGGTCATTTAAATTCGTTTCGTTTTTATCTCAGGTGAAAAATGTTCAACAACACTAATATTCCGCTTGAACGATCAACAAAGGTGTTAATTAGCGGTCTTCATAAACATGTCATTTTAACCGTTATACAAACAAGAATGTTTACTCAGCTTTAATCTCTTTTGAAAATGATTAGGTGACATAAGAAATACAACCGATTTGAATTTTTATCATTAGGCCTGCATCTTTCGAAAATTCTTACTTTCGAACTTCGAGACATTGGGGTCAATTTACATTAATTTTACTTCGACGGGACTATAAAATTTACTCGACTTAACCGAGTATTCGAATCAACCGAGTTCGACTTATCAGAGGTAATTATGCATTGATCAAACGGGAATTTTACCGGGACCGAGAAATTACTTCGACTCATCCGAGTTTTCCACACAACCGAGTTCGACACAACGAGGTTCGACTGTATGTGTATCATCAATTATATAGATATAAAAATCTACTTAAAAACAGTACAACATTTTGAAGTAACATGCAACACTGTGAAAGTAAAGTTACATACAAACAACAGGCTTGTGTGCTATCTCATCCAGAACATTGGAATCATCATAATTAACATTAATGGTCTCTGTATAGTTAATCTCTGCTGGTGCATCTGGACTACAGTCTACCTTTGGTGGGTCCCCAGTCATTAATGTTTTATCACCAAACTCCATTTTAACCATGACCTGAACATTGTCACCCTTGGATCCTTTCTGTAAATTAAACGACATGATTTCCTAAACAACTGATGTGCAAATGCATATACTGTTTAATTTTTTGCTATTTCTTTATTATGTGCATATAAAACTGTATAAAATAAAGGCACAGGTGCTATATTTAATTTAAAGCACCTGTGCCGTTACAAAGGTACTACATATTCAGACCTTATTTTACTTTTTATATATTACAGTGAAAAACCTTGAATAACATTTAGCATATACAATAAAATAGACTGTAAATATTTATAGTTTTAACATACAAGAACTATTTTTTGGTGTTATAACTATTTTCTACTATCGATATCTTGGCTTTCATATTAAAAACTTTTTATGATGAGTCTGAGTCAAACACTATTTTTTAGGCAGTAGGCACAACTTTTGAAGGATCTAAGTACTTCCCACATTATTGATTTTCTTTTATATATCATAAAACATAACATATAATACCAAATGACATCCAGAAAAGTTTATAATACTGATCTTTTTTCAAGAAAAAAAATCAAATTTTAAAGTTCAACCCCATAAGTATAGCAAAAAAACAACATTTATTTGACATTTCTTGATCTAATGTTTTTTTAATTGAGGGAAATAATTTTCATAAACATTCTTCTGGAAAACAGTCCAAAATAATAGTTTCACTTCTGAAGCATGCAGTTATGCGCTTAACAGGTAGTAAATAAAGCAAATTCATCTTTTTCAAAATTAAATATTTCAGCATATTAATGGAATCACCTTATTTGAAGTCAACATTTACTACATATTGTTTGGTGAATATTCATTACAGGTGTTAGTTCATTTTTGTTCAATGTAATGAATGTGAATTGACATTACTATTGGTTATATATATTTAATACATATTGTTTTGTTCGTGCTGGAGTGCTCTGCTTTTATTATTTTTTCATCTTCATATAAGATAATAATTCAACATATACATATATAAAAAATGAAAATTATGAGATTTTTGAAGGAAACATACCAGATTTTTTACTCTTTGTACTGTTATAGAGATTGGCTCTGGAGGCCTACTTCCGGTGGTGTCTGCATCTGCCATTTTGATATCCCTATAAAAAATCAAATATGTGTATAAAGATATTGAAAAAAACAATGAGTACTTACATCAAAAATGCAACTGTTCAGTAACCCATTTGAAAATTGATATGAGAGCATCCCAGCTAGCATATTTATGTTTCAATCATCAAATCAGTTCTTCTGAAGCAGGTTTTGTTATATATTGTAGTAGTGTTTTATAAATCCTTTTTTTTTAACATAGTGCTTAATTCTTTTTCTTTTAGCGATAAATGTAATCATACATGTAGATTGTCTGACATAAATTTTGTCTTTTCACAAACGTTTTGAATAAAAATACTTTATCATACTTTGCTGTAGTTACTGTTATTATTTAATAGTTATACAGTGGAATATGCTGAGTCTGCACGGCAGGTGATATTGTGCATTCCTTGATTTTGTCATATCCGCAATGTAACATACGTGTAAACAGAATTTTTCCTGTAATTGTTTAAGATTTTCAAAGGGACTGAAACAGGTTTAAATTGAAAAGTTCAAGCATGAATCTGTAATTACAATCCCATGTTCAACAATTTTTCATTAAAACTAAGATGAAATCTTCAATTAAATTGTTTCATCATATGATAGATTTTATCAAACGGAAATAATTTTTGCTTCCCATTCTATGGAGTCTGAACTTATTTCACAATACAAAATATTTCCTTTCTTCAAAAATAGCTATTTCTAAAAGTCAGGCATGAAATCCATAGGCATTTGAAGAACTGTCAAAATCAGGGTTTCACTAATTTTGGATACACTTTACACAAAATTTTACAGGCGAAATTATACCTAGAGATGATTTCACGATTTTCTTTCACAAAATATTATCCTGTTATTGGTTTTATGAGTTTATCAATGTGTAATCAAGTCTTTGGTGTGCTGATATACCAAACTACTCCATAGCATACGATACAGTTACAGGGGAGTTAATGACGTATCCAACATAAAATGTTTTATTTCGAGACGTCAACCTGTGACGTTTTGGAAAAAAAGATGCATTGTTTGACAGATTTTAATCATTAGCTTGAAAATGAGTACAATGACTCCTCTTTTTAAAAATGACATTTGGGTTGATTATGTATGAAGATTCTTTGAACCAATTTTTAGGAAAAAATCACCTTTTTTTGTTATATAAATATACGGCAAAAAAATGCTGTTTTTTTTTCCTAAACTCATGAAACTGTGTTTATCCTATGAAACAAAAACGTTACGAGTCTTTAGGTTTGTCTATCCAAAGGATAAAAGTGTCCAAGAACACGATATTTGAGTAAATGTCTAAAATTCTGACCGCATTTATCTCTAGAAGTATCACATGAAGGTATATTTCTTATAACATATTTGAATTGACGTGAAAAATAGCTTGTATGCAAAAATTCATAAAAAATCACTGTGGGATCAAAACTGTATCATATGCCCTTAAGAAGATGATTGTTTTAAATTATTATTAATAATTTTATTTGTGTTGTTTGTTGAATGTGGAGTTATTTTATTGAATTGATATTATTGGATTTTATTTACTATAGACCAATATCAAGTTTTTTATGAATGAGTAACACCGGTTGACCTGAGGTCAATCTGCGTAAATGATGTCATTGAACAATCTGTTATTACAGTACTGTGATGTAATAACATCAGCATTGTGACAAGAAAATATTGAAAAGTGCATGAATTTGAAAGCCTTCTATCAATTCATCTGCATTCACAGGTAACATCTACACCTATACCTCATTATTATTAAAGAAAAAATACAACAGTAAACATCGCGTTAATTTTCACTAAGAAAAATGCTATGCCAAAAGGGGGGATCTCTTTCATACAATGTTCCAGAGATTGGCTGGTATGTCCAAACTAAACTGCTAAAACCAACCCCAACCCACAACTTCAAGGCACAAGCATGACAAATATTGCAAACTGTATCCCCAGTATCTTGATTACATTTACAATCATGAGTTATGACGCGATTTCTTTGATCTTGTTTTAAAAAAAAACAAGTCCTTACAATATCTTACACTTAAACGAAAATATCTTATTTAAGTTTCGATGACAGTATCTTACTCTGACTCTCACTTTAACTTCAACCAAATAATATCGTTTGCCGCCGTAGCCAAGGCGATGCTTTCCGATTTCCGTTTCCGTTGGTAGAATTAAACGCGAGAATTTAGCAAGTACTATGTTCTAGACAGATTATTTCTTCACAGAATCAGTCAAAAAATAGTTAATAATTCACGGAAACTGGGACACTTAAATATTGTAAGTTTAAAATTACTATAACATTACTATTTTTTATTTCTACATTGTACCATATAATGTCTCCTTATAATCAAGATAATAATTGTTTGAATTTTGTTGTTTTCATTATTTTTTATGAAAGAAATACCATATAAATATATATATATATATACAAGGATTTGTATACGTTAAGTTGATATAAATCCTTGATATATATAAATTGCCTAACAATGTACACCATAATTTTAACACACTATTTAGTATGTAAATATAAAAATATTAAATATTTACAATGAAAAAAAAAAAAAATCAACGCAATATATTTCGCAAGACAAACTAGCTTCATCGAGCGTGCATCTATCCAGGTGAAATCGGATCTAGAAAAGAAACTTTTGCAGCTTATTGTGAATTTTGTTGCTATTAAATAAATTCAAAATTTGAATGATGTTCAAGATTATTTATTGTTGAAGTAAATGTTAGTTTGCAACGTCCATTGGCCAATATTACAGAGATGTTAAGGACAATGCGACATAATAAATCATTCTATATCTTTCCTGAATCTTTTCTCGTCTTTTTCATTTAGACCATCAGGTTCTAAAGTATGGAGCTGGTGGATCCAAAAGTTTTCTCTTCTCCTTCTCCGCGCCGTGGTGTTCCACTCAATGTTCACTTCTATGATTTGAAACCAAAAACTGTCCCCTAACCAGACATAAGTTCGCTCAAAGAAACATCCTTTTGATAATGTTACTCTCCAAACTAAAAGACCAATTGAAAGAAATGGTCCTACTTTGTTTCATAAAAAAAGTATTACCAACGTAGATACAAATATCTTGTGTAGGAAGGGATAAATCAACTTTGTATTAAAAAAACACTCTGATTCAAACACAGAATTCTCTGAAACTGACAATGTCTTTGGTCCATGTCTGTCATATTTGTTCTTCGTAAATTGTTTTGTTATAAATTAGATCGTTTGTTTTCTCTATTGAATTGTTTCACATTGTTCATGTCGGGGCCTTTTTTTAACCGACTATACTGTATGGGGTTTTCGCATTGTTGAAGGCCGTAGGGTTGCCTATAATTTCTTACATCCACTTAATTTGAACTTTGGTGGATAGTTGTCTCATTGGCACATCTCCTTATTCTTATATTATCAGGATGCTTTTTTTATTTGCTACGTTTGGAGGACGTGTTTAACAATAAACAGGCAGATTTCATGCAGGATCTGTTTTTGATGAATGAACAGAGGAAAAAAGTATCCTTTAACTTCACGTTCTGATATATATTTTCAGATATGATATATATATGATGTCCTTTCACTAAAATTAAAATAATTCAAAGTTTGGTGACTATGTTGAACACATCTATCACATCGAACTTGAAATAAAGGATAAAACAGATACAGCCAACCTGTCTTATATCTTGACTTACAACTAGAAATTGACAATGAGGGTCGGTTGAGAACAAAACTTTTTGAAAATAGATGATTTCAGCTTCCCAATTGTGTACTTCCCATATTGAGGTAGCAACAGTCCAGGCAGCAGCACTTGAATATGGGCTAAACATCTCCCAGTTGATATGATATTCCAGCGCTTTCATTTCCATTCATGATTTCCTGGAAAGAGGGTTGCTGTTATTAAACTAAGGGTTATAAATGGTGAAGTAAAGGCCATCCATTCGAAAATTTTACGGGCCCCATCCCGATTTGGTTGACCATTATGGAATATCTGTTTCTCAGAAGATGACGAAGGATATGATCCAATTGTTGTAACCAGTGACAAACCCGTCGTCTTTTCCTCGAAAGTGACATCACCGAATTAGACTTATAACACAATGTGTTCCTACATGAGCAACACAACAGGTGCCATATGTTGACATGGATCTGGCTTACCTTTCCGAAGCACCTGAGATCACCCCCGGTTTTTTCAGTGGTTGTGTTGCCCCTCCTTTAGGTTTCTATGTTGTGTTTTGTAGAGTGTTTTGGTCGTTTTTCGTTTCTTGTCATATGGCGTTATTAGTTTGTCTTCGACATATGCGTTTGAAAATCCTTTTGAGAATATTCCTTTGAAAATGCAAGCTCTAGATTGTCATATATTCTGCCCTCTTTAACATGAATCCTTTGAGAAATGCTTACTTATGCTAGCTTCTTCCAGATGCGGATCCAGCCTTAGATGGTTGTCAGCGTGGAACATATGCCCCCATGAGAAATACATGACAACCGCTTTTTATTTTGGAAAATATCTCGTTAATTTAAAACAATTAAGACATGCCCACATGATAATAAAGTTGAAACGCCATGTCTAATATACTTTGTCCTTATTTAATGAAGCCCACAAATAATATTTTGTTCAACTTGAAATATCTAATTGTTAATTAGTCCAAAATTTTCCATTTAGAACTATCAAGTTAATGCCTGAGTTGCAAAATAACTAATGTTAGGTAATAATATAATTTTATTTAGGTAAAACTATAATTTTACTTAGGTATACTATAATTTTACTAAGTTAATACAGAGACATATGTGTATATAAGTCTCTGGTTAATATAATTTTACTTGTATAGTCCTTGGTTAATTTATTATACCAACAGTTAGTATGATAGTCCTAGGTTAAGATAATTTTACTTAGATAAACATAATTAATGCTTGATAAGAATATGATTAATCTTGGTAAGAATACAATTTTAACTAAATAACAATCATTACAATAACTGAGATGGCCATACAAACTTTCATAAAAAGTGAGTTCTATCATTATGGATGGCGGGTTTATTGTGTTCTTAGTTGCATCTCAAATGATTCTTTCTGAGAACAATCTTTAACTAACCTTGGCATACTTATCTCACCTGTTAAAAATAAAAACAAAGTTTAACTTGTAAAAATGAAAGCTATCATTCAACGTGTTATGCAAGCAAGTGTGACAGGTAGAATGCAAAATATTGAGTTATAAAAGGCAGGCAGTAGTTGATGAAACTAACACATCAGAAGAAAGAACTCATTATGAGAATACAATAATACCCTAAAAAATGACGGTTGAGTTCTAGCAGAGGCATATCGATTTGTCTCTGGTTCTAGATAGAAAGAATAATGATAGTTGGGTTCTATTCTTACAACTGTCGAACTTAAAGTTTTAAGTAGGATTGAAATTTCCAAATGTTCTCTGTAAAATTTCAAGAAGAGGAAAGATCAGAAATGTAACGAATTCATAGGCCAGTCCCCCCTCCCCCCTTTTGTGGGAAAAATTTGGTTGATTATATAGGGAATCACTGAAGCATGACTGGAGCGGGCCCCCCTTAGGTCAGTCAGTGGGCCCCCTTATGAAAAGTTCTGGATCCGCCACTGGAATTAAATAAAAAAATACTGAGTTAACTTTATGTGTTCAAGTATATATATATAGTCTCTGGTTTATTTTAAATTATCTACACATCAAACAAAAATCAGGAATCATAAAACTCCAATCCAAATTTAATTGATCTAAAAAAAATGGTTTTAAACATTTTATAATTTATTAGGCAAAAAAATAAAAACTCAATTGTTTCCTGCTTTCTGGCAAAAAAAAATAGTATTGGTAGGCAGTTAATCTTTTACATAGACTATATAAGAAAATGTTCTTGACTAACAGTGCTTAACCAAGAATGTCTGGTCTTAAGTGGTGCTAAATCAAATTCAATGTACATCCTTAAAATGTGTTGGGTAAGCATGAAAATTTAGAAAGGCAGGACACAGAAATATATTTTTTTTTGCCTGAATTAAGAGAGATATTACACATCTACAATGTATGAGATAGCAACTAAACAACACAAATAACCTAAGTATGTATATTAACTGGATTCATATCAAGATTTCTACAAATTGAAAGAACAAATATGAATCTGAATGAAACCAATTAATTTACAATCTTTATTTTTGTGACTAACTAGCATCCAAACTTAATCTATATCACACTCAATGCTACAGTACTAGGCATTTATTATGAGTAAAAAGATAGGCAAGGTAAACAGCAAATAGACAGCAACCCAGATAACCAAAAACACCTAGAGGTCAACATTAAGGTGTCAAAATTGTATTTGACTGTCTATCAGTCCCTTCATAATTTGACAGCAATAACTATTAAAAAATTATTTTTAAAACTTATCAGTAGTTTAGCAAGTGATATAAAAATAAGAAGATGTGGTACGATATTTGTAAATAATATGAGAGATTCATGTTTATCAGTATATTATTGGTGCCAGTAAAATAAGTAGCATCTTTAAAGATCTCATATTGTCTACAACATATTTAAATATCATGAAATGGTAATTCAACGAAGATGCACTCTTTAAATAAGTATTTTTTAAATACTGTGCAAAAAAGTCACTACTAATTCTTTTCGTCTATAAAGATGAAACAAGGAAGCTCCTCTAAAATTTGGTGATCTTTACATTTGTCATTCTGTAGCTTTTGGACTTTTTGTGCCAAAAAAGTATTCAAAACTTCATAATTATTTACCTCACTAATGGGTTGATGAATCATCACTCTTTGCCGAAAAAAAAGTAGCCTGAACTAGATGGTATCATATGTCCCAGGCTTTTTTGCATATATAAGGAGTCTAGTGAAAATGGTGTAATGTTAAAAAGTAAGTAGTTTATTCAGGCCTTACAGGGAAACATTAACAACAAACATAACCTTCACTTAGGCTGTGAGGCTTATACACTTTTCAGATTCTTTTGATTTGTATTCAACTTTTATCACTGTCCAGCACACATTTTGAATGAGTATAACTTCTTATTGACAGAAATTTTGATCTTTTCAGTTGATGGAGAAGTTATTAATTCTATTGGTAAAGGTTTGTGTGTATTGGTTGGCATCACAAGGAAAGATAAAGCAGGTGAAATGGACTATTTGTGAGTTTGAAAAGTACAAATAAGCATTTATTATTATAATACTTAATTTTGGGTTGAATTGTTGACAGAGTTGAAGTATGCATGAAAACAATAGACAAAACATGCAGTAAACAAATGATATACTGGAACTCATTTTTGAAATATTTTGTTGTTTCTTATGTGAAGTGTTGAACAAATGCAAATTTACATTATGAAAAACAGCCTAAAATACTTTTTAAATATCAGTTAATCAGAACAAATAACTAATTCATGTTGTAGTTAAGTATATTCATTAACCTTATAAGCAACATTATGAACCTATTTGTAAACACATACTTGTATAAATAATACTGAACCCATTTCACAGGTTCTTACTTAAGAGTTTCTATTTTAGAGCTAAAAAGATAGTAAATATACGCTTATGGGATGATGAAGTTAATGGTAAAAAATGGGATAAAAGTGTCAAAGACCTGGGATATGAAATTCTATGTATAAGTCAGGTGAGATTTTTAGGATAAATCTGTGAGATAGTCATCCTAATCTGTACTTGAAATAGATTTTCTCAACTTCTTAACTTTTAAATTTTTAGTGTTATCTTGTATACATTAGAGCAGATATAAAGATGTTCTGAAAATAGGTTTATAAAAGAATAATTTCAATGAGATTTTGCTTATCCATATCTTAAAAAACTCCTCCCCTTGCTTGGTTTAATACCACCAAACACCATATACAATGATGTATATATATATTCGGGTTTAACTGTTTTATTGTATAAATTTCAAGATTGTTATAGTTTAATCAAAGTAGATTGATATGATTCATTTGACATCCATGATCATAATCATACTGATGAAGGATATCTGTTATCCGAAATATTTATAAATAATTACATTCATATTTTTCTTTTTTTGTTATTGGTGTTGTTTTGTACACTTTTCAGGCGTTTATATAATTTATTTATTGTGTACATGTATTGTTACTCGTAACGATCCAGCGCCCTTGTGGGAAAGATCGTTGACTATTATTCAGACGTTTTATATATATATATATATCAGTAGAAAGTGACTATTGAAATATTTATCTATTTTAATACCAGTCTTAATTTCCTGACATTCAGTTCAGTGGACAAATATTTACTGGTCTGAACATTATTTCACTGGACAATCAATAATTATATGACTAAAGATTTCAAAAGAGTTTAGCAAACATTTGATCAAGTTAATCGCATTTACTGACTAGACAAGGATTTTACTGGTCTTTATAATTTTTGCGGTCGTATATTGGTATGACGTTGGCGTCGTCGTCTGAAGACACATTGGTTTTCGCACTCTAACTTTAGTTTATGTGAATGGATCTCTATGAAATTTTACCATAAGGTTCAATACCACAAAAGGAAGTTTGGGATTGATTTTGGGGGTTATGGTACCAACAGTTAAGGAATTAGGGGCCAAAAATAAGCATTTTTATAAGACCGCAAAAAAAATTTTGTGCTCGTATATTGGTATGACGTTGGCGTCGTCGTCGTCCGAAGACACATTAGTTTTCGCACTCTAACTTTAGTTTAAGTGAATGGATCTCAATGAAATTTTACCATTAGGTTCAATACCACAAAAGGAAGGTGGGGATTGATTTTGGGGTTTATGGTACCAACAGTTAAGGAATAAGGGGCCAAAAAGGGGCCAAAAATAAGCATTTTTGTAACTTCCAGACATAACTTGTGTGTAAGTGTATGGATCTCTCTGACATTGTACCACAAGGTTCCATATCACAGAGGGAATGCTGGGATTGATTTTGGGGGTAATTGCCTCCAAATTTTAGGAATAAGGGGCCAAAAAGGGGCAAAAAAACAAGCATTTTTCTAGTTTCATGACAATTACTTGTGTGTAAGTATATGGATCTTTATGAAATTGTACTACAAGGTTCCATATCACAAAGGGAAAGCTGGAATTGAGTTTGGGGGTAATTGCCCAAAAAGTTTAGGAATAAGGGGCTAAAAAGGGGCAAAAAATAAGCATTTTTCTAGTTTCCAGACAATAACTTGTGTTAAAGTGTATGGATCTCTCTGAAATTGTACTGCAAGGTACCATACCACAAAGGGAAGGCTGGGATTGATTTTGGGGGTAATTCCCTCAAAATTTTAGTAATTAGGGGCCATAAAAGGGCAAAAAAACAAGCATTTTTCTAGTTTCAGGACAATAACTTGTGTGAAAGTGTATGGATCTTTCTGAAATTGTACTACAAGGTTCCATATCACAAAGGGAAGCTGGGTTTGAGTTTGGGGGTAATTGCCCTAAACGTTTAGGAATTTGGGGCCAAAAAGGGGCCAAAAAACACATTTTTCTAGTTTCCAGACAATAACTTGTGTTCAAGTGTATGGATCTCTCTGATTTTGTACTTCAAGGTACCATTCCACAAAGGGAAGGCTGGGATTGATTTTGGGGGTAATTCCCTCAAAATTTTAGTAATTAGGGGCCATAAAAGGGCAAAAAAACAAGCATTTTTCTAGTTTCAGGACAATAACTTGTGTGTAAGTGTATGGATCTTTATGAAATTGTACTGCAAGGTTCCATATCACAAAGGGAAAGCTGGGTTTGAGTTTGGGGGTAATTGCCCTAAACGTTTAGGAATTTGGGGCCAAAAAGGGGCCAAAAAACAAGCATTTTTCTAGTTTCCAGACAATAACTTGTGTTCAAGTGTATGGATCTCTCTGAAATTGTACTGCAAGGTACCGTATCACAAAGGGAAAGCTGGGATTGAGTTTGGGGGTGATGAATCATAAGGGGGTTCAAAAAATTGGGGGGGGGGGGGATTTTTTTTCCCTTTTTTTTCTTTAAAATTTTCCATTTTAAATTGGTTATTTCTGATTTATATACAAACGCAAATAATAATGATATGGTTTGAATAGGTAAATTAAATTTTTTTAAGTTCTTAGACCACTTTCATTCTGTGTCAGAAACCTATGCTGTGTCAAATATTTAATTACAATCCAAATTCAGTGCTGTATCAAGCTTGAATGTTGTGTCCATACTTGCCCCAACTGTTCAGGGTTCGACCTCTGCGGTCGTATCAAGCTGCGCCCCAGCGGAGCATTTTATTGTAACTTCCAGACATAACTTGTGTGTTAGTGTATGGATCTCTCTGACATTGTACCACAAGGTTCCATATCACACAGGGAATGTTGGGATTGATTTTGGGGGTAATTGCCTCAAAATATTAGGAATTAGGGGCAAAAAAAGGGGCAAAAAACAAGCATTTTTCTAGTTTCATGACAATAACTTGTGTGTAAGTGTATGGATCTTTCTGAAATTGTACTACAAGGTTCCATATCACAAAGGGAAAGCTGGAATTGAGTTTGGGGGTAATTGCCCAAAACGTTTAGGAATAAGGGGCCAAAAATAAGCATTTTCTAGTTTCCAGACAATAACTTGTGTTCAAGTGTATGGATCTCTCTCTCTGAAATTGTACCACAAGGTTCCATATCACACTGGGAATGCTGGGATTGATTTTGGGGGTAATTGCCTCAAAATATTAGGAATTAGGGGCCAAAAAAGGGGCAAAAAACAAGCATTTTTCTAGTTTCATGACAATAACTTGTGTGTAAGTGTATGGATCTTTCTGAAATTGTACTACAAGGTTCCATATCACAAAGGGAAAGCTGGAATTGAGTTTGGGGGTAATTGCCCAAAACGTTTAGGAATAAGGGGCCAAAAATAAGCATTTTTCTAGTTTCAAGACAATAACTTGTGTTCAAGTGTATGGATCTCTCTGAAATTATACTGCAAGGTACCATACCACAAAGGGAAGGCTGGGATTGAGTTTGGTGGTGATGAATCATAAGGGGGTTCAAAAAAATTTTTGGGGGGGGGATTTTTTTTTTTTTCCTTTTTTTTCTTTTTTTCCTTTTTTTCTTTTAAAATTTTCCATTTTAAGTTGGTTATTTCTGTTTTATATTTAAAAGCAAATAATAATGATATGGTAGGAGATACACACCAAACAGGATGTGTAAATTATTATATAATAAGTATTGTGCAATAGCAAGAAATTTTCAATTGCACAGTATTGCACAATAGCAAGAAATCTTCAATTGCACAGTATTGCGCAATAGCAAGAAATCTTCAATTGCACAGTATTGTGCAATAGCAAGAAATATCCAATAGCACAATATTGCGCAATAGCAAGAAATTGTCAATTGTACAGTATTGCGCAATAGCAATAAATATTCAATTGCACAGTATTGTGCAAAAGAAGATACTTCGTATAAATTGCTTATTTCTTGACCAATTTCAATGGGGTTTTATTCTTGAATTCTTGGGGTTCTTTAATATGCTGATTCTAACCGTGTATTAAGTTTTTGGATTTTGGGCCCCATTTTTAAATTGGTCCACATTGAGGTCCAAAGGGTCCAAAATTAAACTTTGTTTGATTTCATCAAAAATTGAATTATTGGGGTTCTTTGATATGCCGAATCTAGCCGTGTATTTAGATTCTTAATTTTTGGTTCCGTTTTCAAATTGGTCTACATTAAGGTCCAAAGGGTCCAAAATTAAACTTAGTTTGATTTTAACAAAAATTGAATTCTTAGGGTTCTTTGATATGCTGAATCTAAACATGTATTTAGATTTTTAATTATGGGCCCAGTTTTCAAGTTGGTCCAAATCGGGGTCCAAAATTAAACTTTGTTTGATTTCAACAAAAATTGAATATATGGGGTTCTTTGATATGCTGAATCTAACCATGTATTTAGATTTTTGATTTTTGGGCCCCATTATCAACTTTGTCCACATTGAGATCAAAAGGGTCCAAAATTAAACTTTGTTTGATTTCATCAAAAATTGAATTCTTGGGGTTCTTTGATATGCTGAATCTAACCATGTACATGTATTTAGATTTTGGATATTGGACCATAATAGGTGAATGTCCAATTTAAAATTTTTAAGTTCTTAGACCACATTCATTCTGTGTCAGAAACCTATGCTGTGTCAAATATTTAATCACAATCCAAATTCAGAGCTGTATCAAGCTTGAATGTTGTGTCCATACTTGCCCCAACTGTTCATGGTTCGACCTCTGCTGTCGTATCAAGCTGCGCCCTGCGGAGCATTTTATTGACTGTTGAGCTGGGGAACCCTGCGAAAACATACATGACTCTTGGGCACCTGTGGTCTTCAGAAATTGGCCCGAGAACACAGTTATTTCATAGTGCATTTCTTTTAGACAATAAATTCAAATTAAAAAAATCGCACCTGCTGTATCTCAAAAAGATTTTTACAGTGTATTGTACTACTTTTGGGACAAATAATATAAAAATTATAGAAAAGTCTACCAGCTCTTACTGAAAATATGGACAATTCTATTTTAAGGGGGTCTATAATTCAGTTTGACAGCTTCAGACATACTAATTTTTGACTTTTTTTAACTGGACCACATGACTACTTTACATTAGATTCATCACCCAAATTTTTTTAACATGTAATTTCACTCCCATACTTAATATTTCATGCATAAAATATAAAGAAATAAATTTGGAAAGTGTATGAAAAAATTTTGCAAGTTATACACTGTCCACACCTAAGGGACTATATTTGTAGACAATGAAAATCAAAGGACGATAACTGTGTCCTTGGACCAATTGGTAACATATGTGTATATCTACACATCACTGGAATCTATCCTATCATATACTATAATATGAATTTTAGGAGGTTAGATTCTTCTGCAAGTATGGTATTCTGTCTAATAAAATTTCAAAACTATGAACTCATGAAGAGACAAAACATAGAAATAACCTCTTTTACAGTTCACTTTAGCACTAGAGATGAAAGGAAATAAGCCAGACTTCCATGATGCAATGAATCCTGAATATTCAGAACCATTTTACAACGACTTCTTAGATTTGATGAGATCCATGTACAAACCAGAAAAAGTCAAAGGTTTACATTTGCTATACTTCTTTTGATTTATATACAAAACTTGGATGACTAATGAATAGTAATCAATTGCAAACAATTTTATTATTCGGTTTTACTGGACAATCTTTTAACAGTTAACAAATTCATTATCTTTATGCTTACTGGCATTTTCCACCTCAGAAAGCACTCATGGCTCAATTAAAACATAAAAAGTCTTTCATTAAAATGTTTTAAGAAAGGCAACACAAATTTGTGCTAAATCATTTGTAAACTGAACTAATTTTATGACATGAATTTATTCTAGGTGGTGTGTTTGGAGGTTACATGCAGATACATATACAGAATGATGGTCCTATTACTATACCATTAGATACTCCAAGTAGTTTACAGGTACCTGTTAAGGAAATATTATATCAATATTTTGTTGGCCGTATATAGGATTGATAGGTACCTTTAAGGAATGGGTACAGATGAGGGATGGTTATTATTAAATGAGATAACAACACAGATGAAATATAAATTAACATGGAATCATCTTGTGAAGAACTATAAAGATTCCCTCAGACCAGTTTGATACAAAGGATACAAAATTGAGAATGGAAATGGGGAATGTGTCAAAGAGACAACAACCCGACCATAGAGCAGACAACAGCCGAAGGCCACCAATGGGTCTTCAATGCAGCGAGAAACTCCCGCACCCGGAGGCGTCCTTCAGCTGGCCCCTAAACAAATATGTATACTAGTTCAGTGATAATGGACGTCATACTAAACACAAGAAACTAAAATTAAAAATGATACAAGACTAACAGAGGCCAGAGGCTCCTGACTTGGGACAGGCGCAAAAATGCGGCGGGGTTAAACATGTTTTTTGAGATCTCAACCCTCCCCCTATACCTCTAGCCAATGTAGAAAAAACAAACGTACAACAGTACGCACAGTAAAACTCAGTTTAAGAGAAGTCCGAGTCCGATGTCAGAATAGGAAACAAAAGAAAATAAACAACAGACTACTAGCAGTTACTGACATGCCAGCTCCAGACCTCAATTAAACTGATTGAAAGATTATGTCTTCATCATATGAATATCAGGCACAATCCCTCCTGTTAGGGGTTTAGTATTATACCATCATAAAATATATGAGAAGAACATAACCCGTGTCATGCCAGCAACTGGTTTTAGAATAAATATATTTAATTCTGATGCAAAGACCCTATAAGTGAATCAATATTAAAGCCAAAATATGCAATCTTTAATGACTTGACAACAGTATCGTAACTATATCCCTTCTTAATAAGTCTGTTTAAAGGTTTTGTTAGCTTTTGAGGTGAATACTGACATTTTTGTGCTTTGTAGAGAATATTACCATAAAAGATTGGATGTGAAATACCCGAACGTATAAGATGTCTGCATGTTGAGTTATATTTACGAATGATGTCCTTATACCGATGATAAAATTTAGTAAATGTTTTGACTAGTTTATGATATCGAAAACCCTGGTGTAATAATTTTTCAGTAATACATAAATTTCTCTCGCTAAAATCTAATACGTTGTCACATACACGAGCGAATCGTACAAGTTGAGATATATAAACACCATAAGATGGTGACAAGGGAACGTCACCATCTAAAAATGGATAATTAACGATAGGAAATGAAAAATCATCTCTTTTATCATAAATTTTTGTATTAAGCTTCCCGTTAATTATATAGATATCAAGATCGAGGAAAGGACAGTGGTCATTGTTAGTATTAGCTTTATTTAAAGTTAGTTCAACAGGGTAAATTTCTTTAGTATACATACTGAAGTCGTCATTATTGAGAGCCAATATATCATCCAAATATCTAAAAGTATTGTTAAATTTTTGTATCAGATGTTGTTTCGATGAGTCTTTGCTGATTTTAGTCATAAATTGTAACTCATAACAATACAAAAACAGGTCTGCAATAAGTGGTGCACAGTTAGTCCCCATTGGAATTCCGATAACTTGACAATATACGGAATCTCCTAAGCGAACAAAAATGTTATCAAGTAAAAATTCAAGGGCAGATATAGTATCAAAGCATGTCCAATTGACATAGCTCTTTTGTTTGTTGCTACTAAAAAATGACCTAAAAGAGTTTGAACATATGTATTCGCATTCCGACTTTTTAAATGCCCATTTAATTAGGTGTGTGAATTTTTTCTTAATAAGAATATGAGGCAAAGTGGTATATAGGGTAGAAAAATCAAAACTTTGAACAGATTCAAAATCACCAATATATGCATGCAATTTATCAAGTACTTCCAACGAGTTTTTGACACTCCAAAAGTAGTTAATTCCACTATTTTCAAAGGCCTTATTTGAACAATTTATTATCAGGTTTTTCAATTTTGATTGTACCAAGTGTACTAGTAAGTAGAATAGACAATTTAGTAGTGGAACAATGACTTGAAGACGAAATAAATCTATATTTGTAAGGTAATTTGTGTAGCTTCGGAAGCCAGTACATAGTTGGGACTTTCATTGTATTTGGTTCTGCTTGTAAAGAAGTAGCTAATAGTTTATGTTTGTTACAGATATCATTTTCTGAAAATGAAGTCAGTTGGAATGTTGGTGAATTCGTGATTTCCTTTTGCAGAACCTGAATGTAAAATTTTCGTCAAACTATAATGATATTATTAGCAGATTTATCAGCCGGGACAAAAACAAATTCCTTGGCTAGTTCTTTTAGTTTATGTTTGATACGAGAAATAGGATTTTTATGGTTGTTGTTAAGAGTAAAATGTTCTTTAAAATGTTGTATACGTATATCAACTATCTTCATTACTGAATTAAAAAAAGAGTCCAAAGATTTTTTGTCAGCTTTTTCCCGTTTTATCCATTTCAAACAGTAAGCACGAAGTGAGTCGTGGATGATATTACGACACTCATTCCAATTAATAATTGACGGGGGACGATATTTAGGTCCTTTACTGAGGAATGATTTTAACTCTCGGTAGTACATTTAGTGATCAAAATGGCCCTAACTTGAAATTACCTCCATATTTCTTCAGATTTGAACAGAAAAATTAATCTTCTTTTTATTCATTGTCATCATTTGTACCTTATTCAGGTAGTTTCTGCCTTTATGTGGCCATGTAGATGCCATATTGGTCACTGGTCATTTATACTAATTCTTTCTGATGCTTGATTACCTGAATACATGAAAATAACTTAAATATGGTCTTTCTCAATTTAAATTTTTGCGCTAAATTCTTGCACTGTGTTATTCAGTTAAATTCTTGCACTGTGTTATTCAGTCAAATTATGACCAAAAACTTCTATTTATTTATGTGTTATTTTTTTCTAAACATTTAAATACATTGGTGTTAAATTTATTATACAAATTTAAATGGCTTTATTTTTTTTTAAAGAACAAAAGAACAGTAAATTGTATCTTCTCATCCTAGTTAGAAGCATAATTAGCAATTGCTCAAAACTATGAAAAGAGTTGTTGGTACCATGAATGTATGTGGGTTAATATGTTAATTATGGTCTTTTTCACTACATTTGTAAAGGCTGATAGAAGCAGATTTGATTTTCTTGCAGATTAGTGTTGGATTTCCCTTTCCCCAACCAATATAGCCATCACATTTATCATGAATAGAAATATGTTGCAATTTTAGTTTTTTTATATTCATAATTGATGCAACAAATGTCTGTTTTGACAGATATAGTCCTTAAATGTTCCATGTAATAAAAAAAATGTAATTCTATTTTTAATATCTTTTCAGGATCCTAATTTTCTGTTAAAGCAGGAGAGGAAGCAAGAGGCAGCGCGAAAAAGAGATCAGAGGAGTAAAAATAATAGTGAATCCAAAAACTCTGATAAAAAATCAAGTACTGTTACATCACAGGAACCTCCTTCAGAAATTCAAGAGACATCAGACTCTTTAAAAAATGTCAGTCTATCTCAAGAAGAAACATAACATTATTTAGAGCAAATAAAAGAAAATTATTTATGGCTTTTTAAGGAAGGAAGTTCATACATGTGATGGACTGTGAAACTAAGATCAGGAGTTTGGGAAATTTTGGTCAGGAGATTAGGACTCAGATCAGGAGGTTTTTAATCGACATAAATTCTGTCAGGTATTGTCAGGTAATGTCAGTTACACCAGATATGTTGGGCTGAAATTTTTCATTCATGAAATATTTCATACACAGGATTTTTTTGTCTTCAACGGGAGGTCGGGAGGAGACCCCTGAAAACGGGATTATTGTACTCCCGTCGGGGGGTTCACATGTATGGAAGTTTAGCTGTGCTATGCCTGTTATTTTCCCTTCTATATCTTAACATATTATATGCTATTTTATCAAACATCCACCAAGTTTTCCCCCTTAAGGTCACCTGGCTTAAAAGGCCTTGTGAGCTTTTGCCATCACGTGGAGACCATCATTGTCTTCTGTCCATCTGTCCATCTTCGAAAACTTTACAAAACATATTCTAAAAAAAAGTCGTGAATTATTACCAAACTTAAGCTGGATGTTCCTTAGGTTTAGTTTGTAAATTACATCTGGGAATTTGACCCATGAGCAAACATTGCTGCGGTTGCTTATAATAAAAAAATAGGGGCAAATGCAGTGATTAGCTTATTTCTCAAAAACTAAAGCAGTTCGAGCAAATCTGACTTAGTAAAACTGATCAGAAGGTTAAGTTCTATCATCTGTTGAATTTTCAGAAAAATTGGACAAGCCCTGTTGGAGTTAATGCCCCTGAAATTTTGATTTTAGTCAAATTCAGTTTTTGGCTTTATATGTAAAAAAAACTGAAACAGAGAAAATTTGACAAGGGTACAAATAATAAGCAGGTCAAGGTTCATTTATTTTTTGCGTTTTTGTCCAAAACAAACTTTAGTAGATAGAGAGCAACAAAATATAGCAAAAAGTGTTCAGCAAAATAAGATCTACAAATAAGTCAACAGAGTTGAAATGTAATTGAACCCTTAGAGAGTTATTGTCCTTGGAAGATAATTTTATACCCATATTTGTGGCTTTTGCAGAAACTATAACAGATTGTAAGAAACAGTTATTTGCAAAAATGTTCAGGACAATAAGATCTACAAATAAGTTTACATGGCCTAAATTGTCAACTGACTGGATATTGGAGTTTATTTGCCATGAATGATGATTTTTACTCAATTTTTGCAATTTTGTCATATTAGATGGGGAGAAATTTTAAAAAGGAATTAAGATCAGCAAAAAAAAGTTCTGCAAGTAAGTTGACATGGCCAAATTGTCAGACTCCTTATAGGATTTATTACTTTTAATGACTATATTTAATTTTACTAATTTTTGTCGAGCCTTCGACTTTTGTTGAAAAAGCGAGACATAGAGATCCTACATTCCGTCGGCGTCGTCGTAGTCATCGGCGGCGTCCACAAATATTCACTCTGTGGTTAAAGTTTTTGAAATTTTAATAACTTTCTCAAACTATCCTGGATTTCTACTAAACTTGGACAGAAGCTTGTTTATGATCATAAGATAGTATCTAGAAGTAAATTTAAAAAAAAAAAAATCCTGTTTTTCCGTATTTTACTTATAAATGGACTTAGTTTTTCTGCCAGGAAACATTACATTCACTCTGTGGTTAAAGTTTTTAAAATTTTAATAACTTTCTCAAACTATCCTGGATTTCTACCAAACTTGGACAGAAGCTTGTTTATGATCATAAGATAGTATCTAGAAGTAAATTTAAAAAAAAAAAATTCCTGTTTTTCCGTATTTTACTTATAAATGGACTTAGTTTTTCTGCCAGGAAACATTACATTCACTCTGTGGTTAAAGTTTTTAAAATTTTAATAACTGTCTCAAACTATCCTTGATTTCTACCAAACTTGGACAGAAGCTTGTTTATGATCATAAGATAGTATCTAGAAGTAAATTTAAACAAAAAAAATCCTGTTTTTCTGTATTTTACTTATAAATGGACTTAGTTTTTCTGCCAGGAAACATTTCATTCACTCTGTGGTTAAAGTTTTTTAAATTTAATAACTTTCCTAAACTATCCTGGATTTGTACCAAACATGGACAGAAGTTTGTTTATGATCAAAACCTAGTATCTAGAAAGACATTTTTATTAAAATTTTGTACTTGTTTATCCATATTTTACTTATAAATGGACTTAGTTTTTCTTCCAGTTAACATTAGATACAGTCTGCAGTTAAATTTTTTAAAACATTTATTAGATTCATAAACTATCCTGGATTTTACCAAACTTGGACAGAAGCTTCTTACAATAAAAAAATTGTATAGAGAGGAATATTTTTATTAAATTTGTTCCTCATCTCATTTTTGTTGAGCCTGCGATTAACAGCAAAAGTAGGCGAGACACTGGGTTCCACGGAACCCATACAAATTTTTTTATAATTTTGCCAATTATCTCAAAATTTTTTAATAGATAGGTATAAACTGTAGATCGTAAACATGACCATCAATACAACATCTACAAAAAACCACTAAATAAGATTTACAAATAAGCAAACAAGTGATTGCAATAAACATAAAAATAAATATGGAAATACCTTTTTATCCACCAGGTGAGTGATCTGGCTCTTGGGAGCCTTTTGTTTTTATACGACCGCAAAAAAATTTTTGTGGTCGTATATTGGTATGACGTTGGCGTCGTCGTCGTCGTCCGAAGACGCATTAGTTTTCGCACTCTAACTTTAGTTTAAGTGAATGGATCTCTATGAAATTTTATCATAAGGTTCAATACCACAAAAGGAAGGTGGGGATTGATTTTGGGGGTTATGGTAACAACAGTTAAGGAATTAGGGGCCAAAAATAAGCATTTTCTAGTTTCCAGACAATAACTGTGGAACGGTGTATGGATCTCTCTGAAATTATACTACAAGTTTCCATACCACAAAGGGATGGTTAGGATTTGCTTTGGGGGGTTATTGCTCAAACCGTTTAAGAATTAGGGGCAAAAAAGGGGGAAAAACAAGGTTGTCCTCATTAATGGACAAATACTTTAGTACAAAACATAATTTAAAGCAGTGTAAGGGAGATAAATCAAATACATCATTGAAATTATCTCCCTTACACTGCTTTTAAATTATGTATAAAGTAATGGTTAATGAACAATTAAGATAATTTAAAACAGTGTAAGGGAGGTAATCCAAATACAACGTTTTGGTTACTTCCCTTACACTGCTTTTAAAGAAATGCATATTTATAAAGGAAGACCAGTATGGCGCATTAGATTTGTAAAATCTGTGACCACATTTATTTATTTGTTATGCCGAATCTAACCGTGTATTTAGATTTTTAATTTTGGGTCCAGTTTTCAAATTGGTCTACATTAAGGTCCAAAGGGTCCAAAATTAAACTTTGTTTGATTTTAACAAAAATTGAATATATGGGGTTCTTTGATATGCTGAATCTAAACATGTATTTAGATTTTTGATTTTTGGCCCAATTTTCAAGTTGGTCCAAATTGGGGTCCAAAATTAAACTTTGTTTGATTTCATCAAAAATTGAATTATTGGGGTTTTTTGATATGCCAAATCTAACCATGTATTTAGATTTTTAATTTTGGGTCCTGTTTTTTTAAATTGGTCTACATTAAGGTCCAAAGGGTCCAAAATTAAACTTAGTTTGATTTTAACAAAAATTGAATTCTTGGGGTTCTTTGATATGCTGAATCTAAACATGTGTTTAGATTTTTGATTATGGGCCCAGATTTCAAGTTGGTCCAAGTTGGGGTCCAAAATTAAACTTTGTTTGATTTCAACAAAAATTGAATATATGGGGTTCTTTGATATGCTGAATCTTACCATGTATTTAGATTTTTTATTTGTGGGCCTGCTATCAAATTGGTTCATATTGAGGTCAAAAGGGTCCAAAATTAAACTTTGTTTGATTTCATCAAAAATTGAATTATTGGGGTTCTTTGATATGCCAAATCTTATTGGGGTTCTTTGATATGCCAAATCTAACCATGTATGTAGATTTTTAATTTTGGGTCCCGTTTTTTAAATTGGTCTACATTAAGGTCCAAAAGGTCCAAAATTAAACTTAGTTTGATTTTAACAAAAATTGAATTCTTGGGGTACTTTGATATGCTGAATCTAAACATGTGTTTAGATTTTTGATTATGTGCCCAGTTTTCAAGTTGGTCCAAGTTGGGGTCCAAAATTAAACTTTGTTTGATTTCAACAAAAATTGAATATATGGGGTTGTTTGATATGCTGAATCTAACCATGTATTTTGATTTTGGACATTGGACCATAATAGGTAAATTAAAAAAATTGAAGTTCTTAGACCACATTCTTTCTGTGTCAGAAACCTATGCTGTGTCAAATATTTAATCACAATCCAAATTCAGAGCTGTATCAAGCTTGAATGTTGTGTCCATACTTGCCCCAACTGTTCAGGGTTCGACCTCTGCGGTCGTATCAAGCTGCGCCCAGCGAAGCATTTTATTTTCAGTGTCAACATAAGCTGAGGAGTTGATTAAGATGTCTTTTGACAATATTATAACTGAATCTATGCATATCTGGTATCAATTTTTAAGTATAAAGGAAGAAAAGAAACAAAGCTCTTTAATGATGTTGAATGAATTACCATAATGTAGAAAGAAGTAGCAAAGTAATATATATGTTTCCTGATTAACATTAAGTGTTGTCTAACTTCGTCTTCTAATTTCCTTTTAAACAACCAAAAATGTATGTAGTTGTATATGGTATGGGTGTATAGATCAGTGATATATGTTAGTAGACCTATTTTTCTTTGTTTAATTAAATCACAACTTTTCTAGAATAAGGGCGATGGCATATAGTCACTGATGAAATATTGAAAGAGGATCTGGGTTTTAACTGAATGAGGAGTAAATAACATAAAATAGACGCCCTGTGCAAAACAGTGCTGTAAAATAGCTATGTTCCCAAGTTGGGGAAATAACAAACAATTCTGCAATATCAGGTGCATAATTTCAAAAGAAAATGAATATCGGTACTGT